ACCTTTCTCTAAAGATATAGTCTATTACTTTTTTCTACAACCTATCCTGTCTAATCATCAAAACCATAAGTCATAAGGGTTTTTTTTTGTTTCATTTTTACACAAAAGGTCCTTAAGCAGACTCTAGTCAGCAATAAATGTAGATAATGTCTTTTCTCTAATCAAATAAGTTGGATTAATATCCATTTTTATCTGATTGCCTTCCTTATTATGAATCTCTGTTTCCTCACATTGAAAATTTTTGCAACAACTTTTTTTTACTGAAAAAATTCTGCAGAAGAATAATTAGATGTTCTGGCACATTTATTAGTGATTGCATGATCCACATTCTGACATGATCTTGGCTATAATATGTCAAGGATCTTATTATACTCAATAAAGCAAAGATAAATCTTCATCTTGTATTCTCTTTTTCTGTTATCTTTTGTTAGCTATTTCATATCCATTTGCTTTTTCTGAAATCTGTCTGCTTATTTGGCATTTCTTTTTCATTGTGTGGGCTATTCTTTTTTTGTAACATCTTCAAAATACTTCAGCTGCTATTTATAGAAAGAGTTAATAATTTGTATATTCTCTATATCTCCTTTGATATAGATTTTTGTTATGAACTTTTTTAATCATTAGAACATACAATATTATTCAATATTTATTGATATGAAGCTGTTGGCACTTTACCTGCCACTTCTGAAGCTTTAAACACTTCAGTGGGTATTTTATCTATACCAGATACTTTCTATTTGATAGCTGTCTGCTGTGTGTTGCACCTTACTTTCTAGTAGAATTGTTCTTTACTATATTGTCTCTGAATGTCAGCGCAAAAGGTAGATCAGACTAAGAAACTAATTCATATAAATTAAGTCTATTTTTATTGTAATAGACCAGTAACAGCAAGTCCTGTCCATCCCTTTACTGGACTGAAGAACTTCTTGGTAGCAGCTCCTCCTTCTGTCTTTCAAGACCATTCCCTCTGCCATCTATAAACTTTTCTCTTTATCTTATAATTCAGATTTAGTCTTTCTATCCTCCTCTAATCTCACTTGTCTACATTAGATCTCTAATGTTTTTGAGCATGAGTATTATAACTGTAATTTTCTTGTGATTCTCTGGTATACTTATAAATATCTCTTATTTTCCTTTTATTACTATATTATTATTGTTGTTGTTGTTGTTATTATTATTATTAATCGCACAGTCAGCCAGATGTTCAGACTGAGTTTGGCATTTTTGTCTATCTATCAAATCCTTACTAGGGATCTGGGATAGGAAGATCTGGATGTTTGATAGTGTTACAGATACTGTCGCAGGATGGAAGCTGTTCCGAGTAAAGCTGTCTTTTGCAATTGACTGATGGTGAATTTATCAATGCTGATGGTGTTCAAGTGGAGCTCCAGTTGTTTTGGAGTTGCACCCAAGGAGCCTATTACTATTGGTACTAAATTTGCTTTCTTTTGCCACAGTAATTCTATTTCTATTTGTAGGTCTTTGTACTGTAATTTATTATCTTCTCCAATTCTTTCTCTTCTATTCTTCTATCTCCAGGCACTGCCATGCCACGTCCATTATCCAGACTATCTTCTTCTTCTTCTTCTTCTTCTTCTTCTTCTTCTTCTTCTTCTTCTTCTTCTTCTTCTTCTTCTTCTTCTTCTTCTTCTTCTTCTTCTTCTTCTTCTTCTTCTTCTTCTTCTTCTTCTTCTTCTTCTTCTTCTTCTTCTTCTTCTTCTTATTCTTCTTCTTCTTCTTCTTCTTCTTCTTCTTCTTCTTCTTCTTATTCTTCTTCTTCTTCTTCTTCTTCTTCTTCTTCTTCTTCTTCTTCTTCTTCTTCTTCTTCTTCTTCTTCTTCTTCTTCTTCTTCTTCTTCTTCTTCTTCTTCCTCTTCTCCTCCTCCTCCTCCTCCTCTCATCATCATCATCATCATCTATATTCTTTACTTGTTGATATTCTTAACTGAAGTATCTTACCCTCTCTATTTTGCTTGACATTAGAAAGCATGTGTCTTTCTTCTTAATCATCTTCTAGCTTTCTACAGCTATCATCATAATTTCTTCTAAAACTCATTTGGATTTTTCTCTCTTCAAAATACAGGGAATATTTCTCATGTCCTTGTTTGCACAATATCTCTTATTACAGCCCATATCTCCTTACCTAGCATAAGGTAAGCACAGTCAATCCGTTCCTTACATTGATCTTATATTCCAATTGCATCTTTTTCAAATCATATCTTGCTGGCACAACTTAAGAGTCTTGATTTATATGTCAGCATTATTCTGGTGTGTCCGTTTCAAAGCTCCACATGATCTCCCCCAGTACGTTCATATAGATGTTAAACAACACAGAATAGTGATAGCAATAGCACTTAGATTTATATACCGCTTCACAACGCTTTACAGCCCTAGTGGTTTACAGAGTCCGTATATTGCTCCTAATAGTCTGAGACCACATTTTACCAACCTTGGAAGAATGGAAGGCTGAGCCAACCTTGAGCCAGTCAGAATATACAATAGAACCACAAAGGGAGAGGAGGATAAATAACTATGCAAGGAACAGTTTGGACACAGTCAAAACCAGCAACTTTACTTTGGCAGAAAATTATTTAACTAGAACATTGGAGGCAGAAGGCTGCAAATTAAGTACTGTCTTACTGCATTCCAAACTTATACAGCGAAACCTGTGAGAGACAGATCTAAAAAACAATTTATTTATTTAAACAGGCTGGATGCTGCATAATTAGCCTTTTGACTTGAAGGCAAAATTAAACAATTTTCCTATCTTTGTTATGAAAAAAAATCAGAAGCACATATCCTGAAATCTTCTGATTATTTCCCAACATAATATAAGCCTCAGGACAAATGTGATGGCAGAAATTGGATATGAACAGATACATGGCAGTCTTGTGAATGAAGATATGTGACAGAGAAAGCAGAATGAGAGAAGAATTATGTCCTGATTTTTACCCAACATTCAGAAGAACTGTAGTTCAACCAGAAGGCATATTTTCATGTTTTACAGAGCAGAAGGAAAGACTGTGTATGAAGATTCAAATGCTGGACACTCACAGACGTTCTTGTATAATAACTGAGATAAGGAAGAGAAGTAGAAGCCATAATAAAGTACACATAGAAAGTGAGGAAAAGACACTTGAGAGAGAGGAACATTAAGTAAATTAAAACTTGATTTCTTATATTCCCTATACTTTTCTCAACATACTGGTTTTGTAAAGAATACTTTCACGGTATGTTGAACTCTAGCCTTCATGCAAGGCCAATTGTGTTTACAGAGGCTGAGTCTTGCATGTTATATGGGAGGAGTTCGAGCCTGTTGAACCTGAGGATAGAGTTCTTGTAGCTGTTAGTTTGGTCATTTCCATTTTGGATCCATGCCCCTCTTGGCTGGCCAAGGATGCCAGGAAGTGAATACATGTTTGGGTCTGGGTGGAGGTTAATTCCTCTTTGAGTAGGGGTAGCCCCACTGGCACTTAAGATGGCTTGGTACACCCCTCCAAGGGCCATCATGTAATCAAGAAAACTTTTGCCCAGTCTCCAACCTTTCCATTTTAGGGACGTTTGTACAGAAAGTGGCTGCACAATAGATTCAAAAGGCCCTGGATGTAGCAGATTATCTACATCTACATCTATTCAGTCATGATTCATGCCAAGATGTGGGCTGAGTCAGCATTGATTGCCCTCTTGGAAGGGCAAGGAGTGAGATGGGTGGCGCATTCATCCTTGCTCTTCTTGATCTCTCAGCAGCCTTCAATACCATCAGTCATGATATCCTTTTGAACTGGCTGCATGGTGTTTCCTGGTTCTCTTAATTGCATTTTCCCTCCAGAGATTAGGATGGTCCTGACCCTGTTGGCCTTTCATAAGGCTTGAAGACCTGACTAGGTACCTGGCCTGTGGTCCTGAATGTGTGAAGACCTCACTTTCTTGGTTAGGTTGACCCAGATAGATTGGCTGCTATTTGTAGTTATTTTTTTTTATGATTGTTTGCCCCCCAGAGTCATTGGTTTCAGATGGGCAGCTATACAAATTGAATAAATAAATATAATATTAGATCACACTACTTTATTAGCATAGGTATCACAGAATTCACAATAAAACCCCTTATTTGTTTAAGTAATGGCTCCTGACATAGTCTCCAACACTTCCATGGGATCAAAAAGCTATCCGTCCCATTTCTCTTGCTGAGCTGAGTTATAACAGAATCTGGAGGGGAAGTAGATCTTGATACTTTTTACTGCAACACTAAAAAAAAAATCAACTTCCCTTCCGGGAAAGAAGAAGTGGGAGAAGCTGGTCTTTTGTTGTCAACTCTCCAGTCTCTATAGATTCATGCAACTAGACGCACAGGAGCCCTATTCTCTCCTTGCTCCTGCTAGAAGAAAGAGAAGTGGATGTTTTGGGTGCCAAGTCTCTTTCCAGCAGCTAAATTAATGGAGGCACTCTGGATTTTGTATTGTGAAATAATTTTCCTCGCAATTGTTTCCAGATGGCATTTCCTTACGTTGCTACAAATCATCTCACAATATTTTCAGGCACTTTGGAAGCTTCAGGAAGAAAGAAAGATGGATAACAGCAGTTCTACAAGCTCCATTTTGTTGACAAATGGGCATAGGGAACACCCATATACCCTGTTCTCCACTGTATTAGTATACGGATATTACCCATATTTATCATGTTTTATTATCTGTCAAATATAATAATTTTACCATCAAAATATTTTGAGGCTGACAATTCAGCTTGTTTGCACGTTTTGCTCTAACGTGAAAAAAATGTTAACTGTGCATACATCTCAGAATATAACGAATAGCTTCTAATTAAAAACTGCAATATTTTCACTCAATTATTTTGACAAAATTGCATGATCTAAAAACAAAATATATGATAAAATTGCTGGCCTTAAGACTGATCTTTAATTTGTTTTCATGTATTCCCTATAAAAGTAATATTTCATGAAGCCAATAAATGTTATGTAGACTTACTTCTAGCAACGTTACTTACCCTTTGAGGTACAGGGGGGGAAGTGGCAGGGCTAATAGATTCATGGCTCTCCATGACATTTCCGTAGTCTGCCATGCTACCTTTCAGAGGTAATGGTGGAGGAATGTCCATCATTTCCAAATTATTCATGCCATTTAGTTCAGAATCTGAAAATAAAGATGCATGGAATTCTCAGCAGCTTATTCACATTCACAGCTAATCTATAATATTATGAAATAAAAGGAAACTTTTTTTAGTTTCATAAAGTCCTCCCAACATTTCTTATTTGAAAAATGAAAGACTAGCAACAAGAAACATCCAATATCATAAAGAAAGAATGTTTTTATCATAATATATAATTGCTAATCAAGTTGCTACCTTTTTTTGCTCAGAACTCAAGTATGTCCTTGAGTGACAAGTATGAATGCTTTAGACATGCTGGGAGGGTGAGCATTATAATTGGTGGGGGCCAGAAACATGTGAAGTTGAAAGGTCCCTTTATATATAAATTCAAGGTTAAATTCAACAGAAATAAGCAGTGTACTTGCTATAATATTTGTTATGGTTGCTTTACCACATCCATAATAACCAGAAATGTGGAATCATTCCACTCCTGTGGAATGATCACACAGCTGGGAGACTAATCAGTTTTCCTTAAATGATATTTGATACTGCAGAGGTAGCCATTATTAATCTTTGCCCCCTCGCCAACAAAGCATTCTTAATCAAAGTTGAAGTTGCTCCTTCTTTGACAGAGCTGGTTAATATTTGTATTTCATCAGGTGGAAAAATTAGGAGCATCTATACTGCAAATGATTATTCAGTAACAAAAATGTATCATCTGAGATGGGAATTTTTAGATTTTCATTTGCAATATTAATTATTGAATCTTGGATGATGTATGAGAAGTGGTCTATAAATGCTAACACTACTATGAGGAAAGAGTCCACTAAACTATTTCTTATACTTTTTTGCCTATTATTCCTTAGTTACTGATTATAAATGATTCAGCATTTTAATTTTTTCCCTAGGATAAACACAATTTAAAAGGACAAAATTGAATACACTCTTCCCACAAACAATTTAAAGAATTAAATGTATAACTACAGGTACCGTATTTTTCCAGCATATAAGACGACTTTCTAAACCATAAAAATCTTCTCAAAAGTTGGGGGTTGTCTTATACGCCCAGTCGTCTTATATGCCGAAAAATATGGATACATCAAAGCAAGCTCCCCGTATCCTGCGCCCCATGCTCCTCACCCCTTGGCACAGGGATTGGCTGTCCGGATGAGAGTTTAAGTGACCCACGCAGCCAAATAGCCCTAGAAAAGTGTCCCTCCAAGAAACAACCGGGAGGAAGGGGCGAGGGTGGAGTGTTGGCGGACCAATGGTGGGAGAGGAGCACTGGCGGAGAGCCAGCCGAGTAAGAATGCCCATGTTGGGTCAGCAGCGAGGGCTTCCCGAGTGCTCAGCACTCGCAGAAAGCCAGCAATTTCGCAGAAGCATCCGCCCCTCAGGCAGGGATCCTGCCCCTCCCAGTCTAGGGTGGTGGAGGGAGGCGATGCGAGAGGGGATTTTCCTCCCCCGGGGAAACCCCCCCCCGCCACCAGCGTCTGCTCGGGTGGGCGGCAGGAGCAGCTGGTGGGAGCCGGCAGGCTGCACAGAGGGTGCTGCTTCCTTGGGGTTGACCGCACCAGGTGCCGTCACGCTGAGCGCCAGAAGCCCTGGGACCCTGACAGACAGACGCTCAGCGTTTCCTCCTCCGTGCTCGGCCGCTTCTTTGGCAACCTGCCACCGTGGCTGGTGCTCTCGCTGCGCAGATGACAGAGCAATCTACCCGCAGGGTGTCATTCCGGAAGCGGTCTGGCAGGCTTCCACTGGAACGAGAGGGGCCAGCTAGTCCCATTGGGGTGAAAGTTAAAGTACCCGTATTTTCCAGCGTATAAGACAACGTTCATGAAAATCTTCTCAAAAGTTGGGGGTCGTCTTATACGCCCAGTCGTCTTATACGCCGGAAAATACGGTATATAATTTTACTAAAATGTTAGAAAATTACTGTAATGTTAAATGAGGTAAATAGCTACAAGTAGACTTTGATTTACAACCAAAATTGAGCCCTAAGCAAGACAGTTGCTAAGTGAGCTTTGCTCCATTTTACAACCTTTCTTGCCACAGTTGTTAAGTGAATCACTGCAGTTAAGTTAGTAACACAATTATTAAGTGAATCCAGCTTCTCCATTAACATTGCTTGTTAGAAGGTTGCAAAAAGTGATTATGTGATCCTGGATACTGCAACCGTCATAAATGAGTCAACTGCCAAGCAGCTAAATTTTGATCATATGATCCTGGGGAAGCTGCAATGATTATAAGTGTGAAAAACAGTCATAAGCCACTTTTTTTTTACTGCCGTTGTAACTTTGAATGGGCACTAAACAAACTCTTGTGATTTCAGGACTACCTGAATTGCACAGCTACAGATATCAAGAGGAACATGAATAGACTGCAATACCATTTCAGATCTATTCTATTTAGGATCTCTTTTAAAACCTTTAATTTCTTAAAACCTTTAATTCCAAATAAGGCAACATTCTGTTACATACAATATGAAATGTGCAATACAGGTTCTAGTAAACAGGTTCCTAAAAATGTTAAAAATCCAACTTCAAAATATATTTTTCAGTCTGTCTTTTATTGTACCTCACAAGGTACTTAGGAGAAAGAAATGGGGATAGGAAAGAACCACATATCCTGCCATGAACTTCTTGGAAAAGGAATCAGATATATGTAGTTAAAGGGAAAAATGTATTTCACCTGACTTCTATTTCATTTTTATTTTCTACCTCAGAAAAGTAGTAAATAAAACTTCCTGAGTTTGTCTTGGGGATCTACATCATCGAGAAGCAGCACATCAGACTTTAGTTTCATGCACATAAAATACATCCATCTCAAACCTCTTAAAGCTTACTCTTGCAGACAACTGCTTTTCTGCAGTATTAAAAGACAGGAACTGATTGTGAGAAGTAGACAGCCCATTAAAGCCTGCCAAAGAGATGAAATCTCAGTCCTCAGATGAGGAAAGCATGCCTAACTGGTTCCAAAAGTACCTAGAAGTGGATTCCATATCCAATAAGCAAACAATTTATCTCAGCTTGGTCTGTGTTGTCAGGGGATTCTGAAAATTGTAGTCTGCACTGCAATACTGAATAAGGCAATAGTGACTTTTATAGTTTCAACCAACTTGGAATTAAGTTCCATATACTGTTGGCATACAATCTCCGGTTGACCCAAGGCAATGTACACTATCATTTTTCCCCAAATGGGACAATTTCAAAACTAACTTTCTAATCTTCCTGACATATATTTTATTCTTTCTTTCTTTCTTTCTTTCTTTCTTTCTTTCTTTCTTTCTTTCTTTCTTTCTTTCTTTCTTTCTTTCTTCCTTCTTTCCTTCCTTCCCTCCCTCCCTCCCTCCCTCCCTTCCTTCCTTCCTTTCCATTGCAACTGAAGGAATTTTCACATGCTCAAAATAGTCCTGCAACTTGGCTTGTTTTTTGTGTTCATATAGCTCATTAATGAAACTGCCATAACTTAGCTCCTTTGCTTTTGCTTATTAATAAAAGAAGAGAGCCCTTAACCCATAAGAGAAATCCTAAAATCTTCACATCAGAAAAGGAGCAAAAAGGTGAAGTACAATATTCAGATGCCTTTAGATAAAAAAGTATACCAATATTAAGATATATTCTTTATATCTCATTCAACAGTTTAGAATTATGTTTGTTGGTGCTTCTGTTTATTAAAAAGGAATGATACTGTTTAATATTTCAACAGACTATCAATCTACTTAGTAAATGTTAACTTCTTTAAGAAATTGTATATACTAATTACTAAATTTCTTGTTTTACTGCTTTACAGTGGTCAAATTATCTTCCCTAATTTCTGGCAAGAGATAGGAAATTTGTATTTCTGTACAAGTAAGTTTTAATGGTTAAATCCTGGTAATGGCTAGTACTAGGAAAAAGTGGATAAAATCTATTTTACCTATGTATTTCTACTGTAACTTTTGCTACAATCTCCTCCTTTTTTTTCCAGATCCATACATTCCTCTCTCTTCCTTCCCACCCCATCTTCTCTACTGAGTTGCCTTCCAGGGAACAGATTGCTCTTGTCAGAAGTAATCACCTATTGAAGATTTCCCGCCTTAATTCACTCTGTTTATTTTTGTTATTCTCACTTGTTTCTTCGTTAAAAATCAAAACTGATCACTTGGAAAAGACTTTCCCCCCTTCCTTCTATTTCTCTATTTAAACGCCTCCCATTTACATAAAATAAGGTTACCTAAAATCAGGCTCTTAGGCTACAATTTATTTGCCCTTTTTAAGGTACAGTTGGATAGATCAGGAACTTGCAATAGGCTCATTTTCTCACATATTCCTACTTCCTCCCTAATAAGTATATTTATTGATTTACATTAAGCAAAATATATTTGGGCAGCTAGCCAAAAGCAACCAATCAAAAATATAGACAACGTACCCTTAAAAATTCTCTAAAGCATACAAACCAAACATACATACAGGGCTCCATTAACATCCCCACCAAAGTCTCTGGAAGAATAGCCAAATGTTCAGGGCCATCTGAATCTCATGGCAAAGCTGTTTTATAGGACAAGTGCCTTGACAAAGTTTTGCCAAGCAACATTGCTTCACAAAAGGAAACCGGAGCATACCCACCCTGACAGATATAGTTGAATGAGAAAAAGCTACTGGAGATGGGAGTAACCATGACATGTACAGTTTTAAAGTTCACAACTAGCACTTTGAATTGCTCACAAAAGCTCTCTTAGCTGTAGTGTTATGTGGGTGTGGAGGGCATGATGGCTCAGCAGTTAGACACTAACTTGTCAGCTGGAAAGCTCATAGCCCAGCTTTGAGATCCAATTGCTCCGCAACAGGGTGAGCTCCCATTAGTTGCCCCAGATCTTGCCCATCTAGCTGCTTGAAAGCATGCAAATGTGAGTAGATAAATAGGTATCACTTCAGTAGGAAGGTAAGTGTTCCATGCGTCTTGGCATACAATCATGCTGACCACATGACCATTGAAATGCTGGCTCCCTCAGCTAAGAAACGGAGATGAACACCGCCCCCTAAAGGGGAAATTTTTTACCTTTATTTTTATGTGGGTATATATGGTGCACCCCAACTTCATGCCCTGCTGAATTTTTGAAGGTGGTGAAGGTGAAGTTCCAAATGCTTTTCAAGGATAGCCCTATGTAGAGTGTATTGTAACAAAACAACTGTGAAGTATTTAAAACATGAATGATTGTGAGTGATAACACCCACACCAGGAATGGATAAATCTGGCACACAAGAGGGATTTATGCAAAATCCCCCCTGGCTACAGCTGCCATTTGCTTCCCAGGCATGAGCCTGGGAAAACTCCCAAATTGCATACCAACTCTAAATGGGGAAATATTATCCAGCCACAATTAACAGTAAAGATCTGCAGATCTAGGGTACTAAAACTCATACCCCTCAGTCTTGTTAGGATTCAATTGAAGCTTCTTTCTCATCCAGAACTGCACAACCTCCAGGCACTGGGAAAGAACTTTGGCATCATGGCCTGGGCAGAGATATACAATACTGATGATACTTAATCCTATGCAAACAGATGACCACTCTCAGAGGCTAGAACAGTTATATTAGCCCCTGCCTTAAGTCCACTAAAGGGCATCTACAAAAGTTCAGTGCTGTAACCTGGTCTGAAGCTGACTGGAATAAATCTAGATGATATGTTTCATCCAGAGCCGTCCACTATGGAGATCAGATTGAAATCATTCAGTACTTTTGAATCCACTTTGAGGAGGAAATGGACCACCACCTCCTTTAAGGAAAGCAGAGCATGTCCTTTTGTAAAGAGAGATTTGCTACTGCTTGGATTCTGCTATATATCTGCTTCCAGCAGGCCTTAACTAACCAACCAGGAGAAACCTGGATCTAAAATGCAAGTGATAAAACATCATGCCAATTATATTCCAGTTCACATGCTCAAGATTAACTGGCTCAAACTCTCTACAGAATAGGATTTTTACCATCAGAGTCCAACTCCAAGTGATTCTAAGCAACTAAACTTGACAGTGTGTAGAATGATTCTCATAAGGATCCTGCAAGGGTTCCAGTGCTCCTTTCCTATTCAAACCTGGTCACAGCTGGTTATCCATGGATGGAATAAGCACAGAGAAATAATTAGGTTTCATTGCCCTCACAGTCACAAGCTAACCATTGATAAAGGCTCTATGTTCAGTTGGATTTCTTATTTGTCTTCCTCCAGAGGTGTCTTTTATGCACCTTAATCTGTCTGAAGACAAAAAGCAAATAAAAATAGCATTTATGCTGACTCATTGGATGTAATGCTGAAATGCAAATCACATTAATAACAAAACCCATATCAAATATATACCTAAATATGTTATTATGTATGCATGAATCAATGATTCTTTCCCATCCAAAGTCAATATGAGTGTGCCCTTGATGACATATTCTATACATTTGTTTATTAAAACAATACATCTAGACATAATTTTTTTTAGACTTACTGGGCTGTAAGCTGAAAGAAAGCTTGGTTCTTGGAGTGATTGGTGGAGGAATACTTTGAGGAGGTGGCAATGGGGAAACAGATAACCGTTTTTCACTTCCCATAACATTAATAACTTGGCTCTTTGGTCTTTGTGGTCTCAATGGGCTGATCTAATTGGGGAAAAAAGAGAATGTTAGACCAATTTGAGGTATATTTTACACTAACTATATTTTACACTACAACATAGTGCTGAACTATAGTTCTTAGCATCACTTCCTACTGGTTAGGATGGCTGATATAATTGTAATTCAGCAATATCTAGTAGGCCAAATTACCTACTACATTTGCCACGAAATACAATAAAAACTACTTTGATCTTACAGCATAACTGTTGGATATAAAAGAGAAAACATGAATTTATGAGCTGTCGACTTTGTGATAAGTTCCAATGTATACATCATAATGTCATAATGATAGGAAAAAGTTTTTGTCTGAAGGCAGAATTACTCCATTGAATTAATAAAATAGCATTAATAAAAGGACCTTGGTATGTCCTTTACCAAAGATACTATGATAGATTTTCCCTAGTTTTTTGGATAATAAAATGTTCTATACAACTAACAGATTAAAAGATAAATAAATATGAAAATATTTCTATAATGATTCTAATCTTTATGCTACAATCATCAACATCTTAATGTTGAGTTTTCTCATTCAGACTATTAAACCACATAATGTTGACTAGTATTTTTAGTTACTGATGGGACATAATACAGATTGTACTGAATTATCAATATTAGGGAAACTATAGAGCTTTTAATAAGAGTTAGATAGTGACTCATATACAATAGAAATGCACTTATAATTTGTAATGTTTCTTAAAATGAAATAGTGATACAGATCTTTTTTTCTGTTACTGAAAGTCAAGATACATCGAACTGGGAGGATTCAGAAAGCAGTGTTATCACTTCCAGGAAGTTATTTATCCCCCTTGCCTCCAAATCCCATTCAGAACATTGTATTGTGCATCCACTGTCCCTAAACCTCTATGCTTATGCAGACTTTTGTGATTATTTTTCAATAAAATACAGAAAGCTACTAGGTATATAGATGTGTTTTTATACCATAAGTTATATACTTAAAACTCCAATCTTTTTTTCAGCAAAAAAGATGCAATCCATCACAGTGGTAGTTAAATACATTTATTTACTTGCACCCTTCTCAAAAACTTTAGCAGTATCTGGATTAAAAATCAAAAGTTGCCTCAGTATATTGTAAAATTGCAGCCCTATCCAGTTAATACAGAATTGTCATGATCTAGTATTCAGATGACTCTGAATCTGAAGAAGCTGTTTCAGCTGAAGTAGGGGAATGTCAACCTCAGGAGAAATCAAGCTAGGAATCACTTGAGGCTGATCAAACACAGGCTTCATCAAAATAGTTGAAGCAGTCAGATGATGACTTAAATATGCACAATACATGAAAAATGCATAGTATAAAATGGCTACTATAAACAGGGAACTGTTTCTCTTCACTTTGAAATACATGGGTTTGGCACTACTATCTTTTATTTGATGAAGATCAAGCTACGGAACATCGTTGTTTTCAACAAAACTAATCAAAAGAGACAGATTTTTATGAAGTTTTTCAAGATCTGGAATACCAGAATTATTTTCAATTTCCCAGTTAAATTATAATATGTATTTTGTGGGTGGGTGTTTATGTTTGGGCTTTTTGAAATGCGCATTCATGGCCAATTTGTTGGTATCTCCTTTTTTAAATATTTGATCATTAGTTTCATTCATAGCTCATATTAAACCATAGTTTGTTTAATAAATATTACAATTTACTACATGTGCACAATTATTGGATTCATGTAATATGTTAAACTCTGAACAAGTAAGCTACATATTGTGCAATATGGGAACTCAACCTATATTTGACAAGAGATATTAACCTTGTCAAATAGTTTTAGCTTCTGTGAACAGTACCTGTACTGGGACTTCTAAAGAGTTATTATGTTCATTTTAAATTGTGAGTATTAGACTTAAGAATTTGCAAGAGTGGTGAATCTGTTGTAACTCTACAATGAAACAGCAAAAATAGCAAGATGCTATCGTGTTAGCCCTCTGAGCGCAGTCCAAAACCTTGGGAGTTACACTCAAGTCTTAAAAATTTAGGTTCAAGATACTTTACAGAATGCTTATATCCCTATCATTCTGCATGTGCCCTAGGTTTTGACTGTATAGCTATCCTCTGTATCAACCTGAGGCTACCATAGTCAGTAGGAAAATGGGAAAGGGAGATTCTTGCGTATCTGGAGAGATTGGACCAGCAACCTCCTTAATAGCCTCTGGCAGTTCTTTTGTTAAAAAATTCAGGCCTTTTAAAATAAGAAATATATAGTATGTATAATTGGATAATAATAGTAATTTATTAAACTTGTATGCTGCCCAACTATCACTGACTCTGAGAGTCTCACAGCGAAGGAACTTTGTGTGTGTGTGTGTGTGTGTGTGTGTGTGCGCGCGCGCACTTGTGTATATGTGTTGGATGGAACACCCAGTCTATCAAATGTAAAGCAATCTGTTTTGCGTTTCACTCCAGTCTAGGAGTATCTTTTGCAGGCAGACGTCACTACTGTGAACACTGTAAATTCAGCCACAAAATTTTGAATTTACAGTGCTCACAGTGGTGACGTCTGCCTGCAAAAGATGCTCCTAGACTGGAGTGAAATGCAGAACAGAGTGCTTTACATTTGGTAGACCAGGTGTTCCACTCAACACATAGTTGTATATCCTCCATGGCCTCTACTGATAAGAGTGAGGAGGAACCTGTGGCCTAAAGGTTAATACAGCTGCCTAACATGCAAGCTGCCCAGGTTCGAATCCCAGAAGGGTAAGACTAGCTGACAGGGTGCATCAAAAAACACTCAAGATAAATCTCTTCCCCTGGTCTCTTCCCTCCCTGATACAGCTGACAAAGTGAGAAAGAGCCTGTGGCTTAGGGTCAACATAGCTGCCTAACGTGCAAGCAGCCCAGGTTCAAATCTCAGAAGGGTATGTCTAGCTGATGAGAGCTAATCAGTTCAAAATAGCTATCCCAGTCCCCCTTAACTCTTTGTTAGTAATCCAAAAATTTAGGAGAAATATATATATACCTATACATATATATAAATAGAATGTATGCTTATGCATATAAATATTCAGAAGGAATGAGATTTTCAGGGACAACCTAATGAAACTATTCTGGAATTGTGCTAAACCAGAAATAAGTACAGTTTTCTCTATAAAGTCACTATATAACAATATTTCTAAATTTAACAAAGAAGTCCAAGCAATAGGTGAATCAGTTACAATACAGTTTCTGCAACATTGTGGGAAATAACTCTCTACTGAAAAATACATCATCACTTTGATATAAGTGTGAATGCAACAACTACATAAGGGTAATGAATAATTTCCACATATCTGTAGCTTGAAAAGAAAGGTGAGGGTAAACTGAATGATGCCTACAATTTGTCATGTTTATGAGGTTATACAAATATAACTATCAATGTCTACAATATTTCATAAAACTTATATTATCCATACACTCACAATAATTCCTTTGCACTGATTTTAAAATAAAGCAATGAAAAGGGACAAATGAAATTATAGACAAGAAGCTATTAGCAAAAAAAATACCATGAAGAACGAAGAATAAAAACCAAATTTGTTAGCAAAGATGTGATCAAAAAGCTTAGAATAACATACACACACCTCCACACACTTGGATTATACACTATTTTATCTGCACAGCAATTTTTGATTGAAAAATTATGAGGTGTCAATAATGAGCTATTGGACTGAATGGCTAAATGGGAAATTCATTTCTTATCTTTCTAGTTTAGAACTGACTAGTTCAGAACTATCATACTACTTCCAGATATGTAAACCCACACCAGCTGTAAATGTAATACAGCTGTTTTCAAATTTAAGCATATAAAGTAACAAACGTTTGTTTTATTTATTGGTTTTACGGTTGTTGTCTGTTGCCCACAATTGCTTATGATGGATGGCCATATAAATCTTTTACATAAATAAAGCCTTTCATACTAATTAGCATGAACAAAGAACCCTGTTCTAGACTAGCTAAGACCTAACAAATTGCTGTTATATAATGAAAATCTGAATTTAAGAACTGTTGTCAAGAAAAACTCATATCCATGTTCATGCAGTCATTTGAAGTTGAGCTCTATTCAAGGGACTCCATTAAAACTCTAATAAAAACTAAGGACTATAATCGATACTAGGTGAACAGGTTTCTGATAGCACAGCAAGACTTCTTTCACTTTCATCTTTCCCTCTAGTGCTGTGTGCATAAACTACAAACTGGCTTTGGAAGATTTCTTGTCTCTTCAAACCAGATTTAAGAAAGAGGAAGGAGGAATCCTTTCCCTAGCCAAATGACATCCATCAGTAGAATGGTCTCAAAGCACCAGAGTAATGATGTTTTTCCTTACATGGAATAGCTGTCTCTCCACAGGGAGGAAAAATTATACCCTAATAGCTTTGCAATGTATTTTAGCCAAAGACTGAAAGCTCTATGAAGGAAAGAGTCTGTACTTCTACATTCTCAAAGTATCCTACACTTTATTAATGGCATTATTTTGGTTGATATGTTTATGTTATTAAGAATAATATAATACAACATTTTACTTATTTTTTTAACTAAAGTTTAGACTCCCTATTTCTGCAGCACACTACTGGTCTTTATGTAGTATACAAAGGATGCCTTAGAATGGATGCTAGTAATGTATCCATTATAGTTTTCCAAAAAACTAGAATTGCCATGAAAAAACATGAGATTTTCCTAGTACAGAACATATGACAATCTCCCTAAAGAATATATGTTTATAATTATATTAATCTAGAGACAACTTTGTATTTAAAACATGGAGAGTATATGGTGTATTACACCACCTTCCATTTGCCTACGTATATGCATTGTATGCATGAGATAGCATATCTTTTATTATGTCTGTGTCATGGTTCCGAAAGGAAGCAGCTTTTCAAAGAACTTTGAGGCTTATTCCTCTAAAAGAATCTTTTAGTATTCTGAATAGTTTCGGCACTAACAAAGTTAAGCCAAAAACTGAATCCTCCCTCCCCCAAGCACCTGTAACAAAGCATAACTCACTCCTTCATTTTACAGTCATCAATCACATTCTCCAATTAAACACCTGTAACAGTCTGTCTGTCTGTCTGTCTATCTCTATCCAACTAAAAAAAATAAACAGTACAATATTTAAATTTAAAGGAAACTATTTGGAAACAATAAGGCATTTTGTAAAAATAACCCTAAATACAATGGTTATGGGGGGGTTCTTGATATTTATGATTTTTTTCTACTCTTTCAGTACAAAAGATCTCTATGCAGAGCACAGATAACACTAATAAAATAGTTGGGGAAACATAGCAACGGGGCCCTCTACCTCACTGTTATCCACTCCAGATTTGACAAGGCCTCAGCAACTGACCTGAGAGCATAAATTAGAAAGATACAGTAAAGACTCCAAGGTCTCTTCCAACTCTTGTTACTCTGTTATACCGTCCTTTAATATTCACTACTCACTAATCCCAAATCTCATGATAAATTGTAAGCCCAGATTAATGTAAAATATATCTACTGTGCTACAAAGAAGCATAGCAGCTATCCAGATCGGTGTTTTTAAAGATTCTGTGCTGCTTTCTCTGAGTAGTAGACAAACTGTAAAATTAATAAAATGATTGTTTACAATAGTTAGATATAACAGTAATTACTTTTTTATTCTCTTATACCCCTATATGATGTGGTGGGATTCAGCCAATTCGCACCAGTTCGTCAGAACCGGTAGTGGCTTCCACACAGAGAACCGGATGTTCACATATTTGAATCCCACCACTGCCTATATGGATAGATATAATTGCAGATTCTTTTGACTGTGCTTAGCATACCTCTTTTAAAGACTGAATATAATTTACAATCATTATAAAGTTTGGTAAATCTGGAAAAACTTATTGGATACTGATTAATCTCCAGTCCCTCAACTCTCTTTAATATGGCACCAGTATAGGATTAAAAATACATACAGGGATAAAGTTGCATAATTTTTCCAAATGTCAGCACATGGAGTGCTCTATCTGATCACTTGGCTAAATAATCTAGAGAAGAGGCTTCTTCAAGTGAGTATACTAATTATTCACATTCTCCTTCCACTCTATGTTATATTCACAAGGATGCATAAGTTTTGAGATATTTAAATCAGTCCTACATGATATAAACTCCTTAGAGATGCCAGATCCTAAGAGTATAACCCCCCCCCCCAGCATTTTGACAGTTTATTGGATTCTGCTATGCAGAAGTTATTTATTTAAAATAAAGTATGAGTAAATTATAATTACAGTTTCTGAAAGTATCACTGCTTCAGACTGCTGCAGAGAAATATCAGTTGATTTCAATTCTTTCTCAAATATTTCTTGATGCTTGCTGTTTCTCTTTTCTTTCTTCTTTTCTTTCTTATCTTTATCTGAGTCATCTTTATCCAACTTATCTTGTGATCGAGAATGCATCTTTTTTGGCAGAAGGGGCTCAAGCACAAACCTAAACAATATTAATTTTTCTTAATGCGCAGTAAGTACAACAAAGCACATCTCTTTCAGCATATTCATTCTACTTCAATCAAACAAGGAAATGTGCAAAAACATGTTTATTTACAGATACATACTATATGCAAACATACATTTATAGATTTTAATTCTCTAGGATTATTTTTCAAAACAGTTTATAATACAGTATTGCATTTTCTGAATCAAAGAACACTGGAAGGTCTTCATAAAAATGCAGCTATGACATCAATCATCGTTATATGTGTTCACTATGGCTACTTTTTCTTAAAGAATATAATTACATGGTAATAATATCTATATGGAACTGCAGTTGCTAGTATCACTGAACATACTCATATTGACTGTTTTTAAGGAAATCAACCATACTGTAGTAATTGTGGGAACATTCCTGCTCCAGATTAAGGCACAACAGAACTTTTCTGCCAAAAATTATTTCTCTGCTATAATATTTGCACTAAAATGCAAATAGGCATGTTTGCTTCCATCCAAGAATAATCAGTTTGAACATACTTTTGCAAATGCACAAGCATCCTAACTGGTTCCATCTTTTTTATTCTCTCTGCTTTTACATGCCAAGATAAAGAATATATCAAAAGCTATTTATAGGCTAGATGCCTATTTTTGTTATATAAACAACGGCAAGTTAGTGATAAAGTTTCTGGATCCTGGCATTCCACAAATATGCAGGCAATTACTCCCACTTCCTCCATGCAATGGGATAGAGATCATGGTGTGTGCAACATCAAACAGAAATAGTAATAAAACAAAACAAACAAAACCAGTAGAGAATTTGGTGAATTTTAAATATTTTAAATATTTTAATTTTAAATATTAATATTTAATATTTTGGATAAAGAGGCTGATAAGAATCTTCAAACTAAATATTTTTCACTGTCTGATTTTCAATTTGCCCGTAAATTTTATGAAATAAAAGCAAATAGTTCCAGAATGAACTAGAAAAATACATATCATGATAGCCTCTTATTGCTTAGATTTGATTTTCAAAAAGACAAAGAAAAGGGTATGGAGCAGAGCTATAACACATATTATGTTGCATTTACCCATCTGAGCCAGGTCTAGAAGGAGCACTGTCAGACGAGATTGAAGAAATTGAAGCAACAGATAATGGCCTTGAGGAGGATGGCATTGTGAATGATCGAACCATAGACCTTGGCCGACTACCTTGTCTGTCATCTACTGATGAGGGCTACAAAACAAAATATAAATAAAAATAAGATATAATTTCTTCTGTTACAAAGACATAATAAAAAATGAAAATGAAAAGTATGGTGACTTCATCAGTCCATTATTAAGAGCACCATCAGTAACTGGGGTTCCTAAGATCTCACTTATAAGGCTCTAGGCCCATGGTGGTGAACCTATGGCATGCATGCCACAGGTGGCATGCAGAGCCCTCTCTGTGGGCACGCACGCCATCACCCCAGTCCTAGGCCTTCAGTTGGGTTTTATAAAACCTTTTCGCTTTAGGCTTCCGCCGTGTGCAAAAAAAAAAAAAAGGTCCAATCAATCAATCAATTTCAACTTCTCGCGGGAAAAAAAGATCTCGCAAAGTTGGAATTGATTGATTGAACTTTTTAGTCCCACCCAGTCTGCCATTACCACCACAGCCCACCCAATGGGCCACGCCCACCCAGCACCTGATGATACATAAGTGGGGTTTGGGTTGCAGTTTGGGCACTCGGTCTCTAAGGTTCGCCATCACTGCTCTAGGCCATCCATGATAGCCTTTCTTCAAAAAGAGTATTTTGAATAACAGTCATTATAATTATAATTACACTCAAATTTGACAGACATCTGGTGTGTGTCTGTAGAGTACAAAGCTAACCATGAAGAAGGAATGCAATAATGGTTAAGTATACAATAATTTAGCCATGAAAAGAAAGAGGGAATGACAAAGAAGTTCAATGCCATGACTATTTCTAATATAAGTGGAGGTCAAGGAAAACTCAATCAGATGTTCAAGATTCTTTAAATATACTTTAAACCTCCCCCCCCCCCAAAGTTCTAGTAATCTGTGTGGTATCTGTTTCCTGACTTGGCCTACTTAACAGCAAGATAGAATTCCTGTTGACTATTCCACTCCTCATTTTCCCATTCTATTTGGTTTTACCATGGAGTAGGCTGGTGACACAGATTAAGGAGGTACATTCCCTCCTCTGTAAATCCACCCCCTCTCCCTAGCCAGATTGTTAGCAAATCACCAGCTCCATCCAGGATTATATATAGTATAATAAATATTTGATCAATAGCTGACTTTATATGAAGAGCAGCATGTTTAGCCACCTTTACCAGCAGCCTGCCCTAATTCCCTAGCAATAACCAAGTTGTTGACTCTCATCATATTTCCCCATGATGATTTTTACTTCAGTGTTTATTCTCAGGCTTCTTTCTGTTCCTTGCAAACACATCCCTTATCATCAGATATAATTACAAACCTTACTTCACTTGGTACCTACATTATAGAAAACAAGACAGAGTAGAAATGAGCTAAGTCTGAAAGTTGCCTCTCTGGTGGCAACCTCATTGCTCCCGCTCAGCTCTTATTTTACCTGGTTTTCCCGAAAATAACACATGGTCATATATTTTTTGACTCCAAAAGAAGCACCATGTCTTATTTTAGAGGGATGTCTTACCTGCTTACCTTAGAACTGCCGCAGCCAAATCTCCCATGCCCGGACATCTGCCTCACCTTGTCGGCCCTCTTCTTCTGAGGCCACTCATCGCCACTCCTGTATGTCGCTCCCCAGCCTCCATTTCGCCATGAGAGGCCTTTCCATCACTTCACTTTCAAACAAAAAAATGTTTAAAAATAGCATATTTAAAGAGCTACTCACAAGACTTCTGATTCCATATTGTTTTTCAACTTTTTCTTTCAGTTGTTTAAAACAGGCTTCCATCCTCTCATGAAATGGCCTTAGTGCTTCTGTGACTTTATTCCCATGAATTCGGATACCTTCTGTCAGGAAAGGGATCTGAAATGGGAAATTATATTTTATTTCATTTTCTGATCTTCTTTCAAATGAAATACGAACACAATGAGAATTTCACCTCAGCTGTTGTTGCCAGCATAAAAATACTTGTAAGAATGCCAGCATAAAAATACTTGTAGGAATGGTGCTAATCTATGCAAAAAGTCACTGTTCATTATAAGGAAACAAAGATTATACAAAAGTTACTGTTACTGTTATTCCACAAAACTCATATTTGCATCATATTTATGTCTTGTGCTGTTTTTCTATTATCCATATTTTTATGTATATAATTTCATAAATACGTATTTATATGTTTTTAAGAAAACAAGGCATATACTTAGATAATGAATGATGAGTCATGTTACATTATGACAGTCCAAACCGAAATATTTCAAGAAATGAAAATATTAAAAAGCACAAGCTTTTGGCTAGAGGACTAATTATGACCACTAAAATATTTTATATGAATTTGTATACATCTTTGTGTGCTTAAGTGTTTATAAATCAATTTGCTCACTGCTAAACATGCATATCTAAACAATGGTTTTAAAGATTTTAAAAATCTTTAATTTTTAATTTTATTTTATGACTGAAAGTAACTATGTGCTGTCATAAAATATCCATGTTTTAAGATAATTATCTCACAATATGGAGAGAGGGCTGACCTTTAAAGTATATTCAGAAAAACACTTTATTCCCTCAGCTACAAACCTTCCTGTTTGTTGTTTCTTCCCTCCCTCTCTCTGCCTCCCTCTCTTTCAAACTTAATGGGGTGGTAATAAAATGAGATACATGTTTTCAGTGTTTAGTATTCTTCATAGTAATCAGGCTAAGAGGCTCTTTCTTAATCATTCATAATTAAATCCTAATACTGATTAAAACAATTTTTCCTACCATCCCTATATATTCACCTAAATTAGCAGATTTTATTATTAAGGAAGAGAAAAAAAACAAGCAAACTGCATTTAATGTATTCAAGAAATCTTGCCAGAATGTAATCTGGAATCTGATTTGAAGTAGAATGCAATTGCCGATTCCCTTGACTTCTAACGAAAAAGACTTAAGAAGTATAATATTTACATTTACAGTATCTGGTATCATAATTTTTTTTAAAGTCACTTTTCTGCTGCTTCAATTAGAACTACTTCCTTATAATCAAACATTAATTATAACCTATTTTGATATGCTATGGAACTTAAATATAAAATACCACAATTATAATTACTCTTCTGTTTGTTCCTTCTCCCATTTTATTAGGTAGCTAAGGGATAAAAAGAAGACTTCTCCCTTGGTTTATCACATAAAATGTTTTATTTTTCAGAAAATGAATAACAAAGAAAAAACAAGCAGAAAAAAGTCTTCAAAATATGTTTGCTGATGGTTTTATCTATTGTAGTAAAATATGATAGAAGTAATCCTGTATATTAAAAAGAAAATACTGTTAAAAGTGATCAAGGGATCACTCATAAACTACTTCATAGCTTCTTGGTTATGCCACTCCCCAAATCGCCATATATTCTAATTATGATCCCAAGGTGCTCAGAGCCAAAGAACCAACTTACTAGACTCAATAACACCATTCTTGTTCGGTAAGGTCCAGGACACTTCTTTCCTTATTTTATAATTAATCTATGTTCTCTTACTACCATTTGGACTTATTGAATCCCTTTGCAACTGTCTAATCCTTAGTCAAAGCTTTGCTTTTTTTTCATTAGGGTGGTATGTTTAGGATCCCCTTTTTTCTCTACAAGCCTTAAAAAAACATAACCCTCAAATCCATTTACTCCTGGAGCAACACAATGGATTGGCTATTTGCAAAACTGTACAAAATATGTTCTATATGGGCCTTGCTACATTCTGAGGGAAAAAATGAGACAATTTTAACCTCCTTTTCACAAAATACATTAGTGAAGTTACTGTCAGTGGTGTGCTTCTTGATGCATAAATGCAGTTTCTTGCTATGGACCTTCACCCTAGGAAGGGGATAGTCAATACATTACCATCTTTTCTACTCCTTTTCCGATAAGCCTTTTCTATTCTTGTAACTTATAGCAATTTATAGCATTTTATAGCATCAGCCAGCCTTGCTATTATGATATAAAGCTTGTCTTCATTATTGATGCATTGCCACAGCAATGGCTGGATGGCTATAAAAGCCATAAATCATTGGGCGGAATGGCCACTGGGTGTGGCAAATGACTCACTGCATACAGTGGTAAAAATGATAATCAAAATTCCACTGCTTTCAAAAAACTGGATGGAAATGGTTGGAAGGAATACTGCATGCAGTGATGAGATTCAAATATATGAACAACCGGTTCTCTGTGTGGCTGCTGCTTCCAGAAGTCCATTCTAGGCCTGGGCAACAAAAAAATAGCTACTGGTTCTGCCAAAGTGGTGAACCGGCTGAATCCCACCACTGACTATATAGTACTATCTTGGGAAGGAATATCCATTTCATCATAGCTCTATCAGCAACTATAAATTTATGATATTGGAATGGTGCTTTTGCATTCTACTTGGAATTGTGTTTTTAAGTTAAAAAATAATTTAATTAATTAAATTATTTTTAATTTAAAAACACAATTAAAAATAGGATACAAAAGTAGCCTTCCAATATCATAAATGCATATACTTAACTATGAATAGTTTTTTTCTCTAAGAATCACTCCAAATAATTCTGAAGAACCAAAAGGATGTGTCAAATGATACAAACTTTCAGTCACCTTTAAAAATTGAAACCAGCTCATAGAGAATATTTCTTCTACTGAGCTATTTACATAATATATAATAATATTTACATGCATAATACTTTATACTGACTTCCTACCCTTTTCTGCAACATATTTTGAATGTTATGTTGGTTTTCTAGAGTATTAGGTATCCTACTCAATTATGTATAATCTGCAAATATCATAAACAATCTTGCTACCTTTTCATTTTAGTCACTAATGAAAATATGAAAGAGTAGTTGCTCCCGGACCAATCCACCTAGCACTTCAATGAAGAATCATTAATTAATAACAGCTCTTAATTACATCTAGACTGTAGCGTCAGCATGTCAAAAACACTGTGTATCCTTAATAGATTATCCATAATCTATTAAGGCTATTACTCAGTCAAATTGTGAGAGAAGACTGGTCTGTAACTATTAGTTATAAATCCATGGTGATATCTAGAAATTATTGCATTCTTTTTGATGCACTTATGGATAGATCTCTTCATGATTTGCTCTAGCATCTTCCTAGGGATAAACGTCAGACTGACCACAAAGATTGCTGGATTTTCTTTCTCCACTTTTAGAAGACAGAAACATTTGCCAATCATCTGGAATTTCAGTATTCTAGGAATTTTTCAAATGTAATATATTGAGGTACAGCCAGATGAACTGTTAATTCCTTTGGGTCCCTAGGATGCCATTCATCTGGTGTTGGAGAGTTAACGCATTCAAATAAAAGAGGTATTCTATGGTCATGTTTATATCAATCTTAAGTTTTGCCTGCTATGTTGTAATTTATTTGTGGAACACACAGTTTGTTTTTGAAATATTCTAGGAGGATTAGCTCTTTTTTTTTGGTTACCTATTAACACTTTGCCTTGAGCAACTGGTATTCACCTTTCTCGTTTTCATTTGCTTTCATACAACTGGAAAAGGCCTTTTCAGTTATTTTTAGCATCCTTCGCTAACTTCAGCTCAGTCTATATTTTAAATTTACTGATACCAGCTAATTTGTGGCCACCTGTTTGTACTCTTCCTTTGTGGTCTGACCCTTCTTTTCTGCCTGTGTCCCTTTTTGTTTGCAGGTCTTCGCTAAGACTTTTTTGTGTTGGATTCTTTTGCTGTCTTTATTTTTTTTTTCCTCAGTGGAATTTTTTGCCATTTTAGTTTCTTCCTCGGTTATGAACTCCCCACTTTCTTGAGTTCCTTCCCCCTTTATTCTTTCTTGGGCCATACTAAACATTGTTTTGAACTTATGAAAACTCACTTTTATGAAATCCACAATATATCTTTGACTATATTATTTTAAGGGCATGATGGCTCAGTGATTAAAGATACTGAGCTTGTCAGCTAGAAAAGCTGACAGCCAGGGTTCGAGATGTGAGCATTGTGCAATGGGATAAGCTCCTGTTACTGGTCCCAGCTCCTGCTCACCTAGCAGTTCAAAAGCATGCAAATGCAAGTAGATAAATAGGTACCACTTTGGTGGAAAGGTAACAACATTCCATGTGCCTTTGGCATATAGTCATGCTGGCCACATGACCACGGAAAATGTCTTCAGACAATGTTGGCTCCCTTGGCTAAGAAATGGGGATGAGCACCACCCCCTTGAGTCAGCCCTGACTGGACAGAAAAAACCTTTACCTTTATGTTATTTTAGTTTCCCTTAAAATTAAGACTCCAGCATTACATGATCACTTTCTTCCAATTTCTTGCTACTTATATTCCTCACCTAAGTCATCCATATTGATTAGTATCATGTCAAGAATACCTGATCTTCTTGTGTCTTCCTCCATACTCTGGAGAAAATTGTCAGTATGAAGAATTTTCTGGAAGTACTATGCCTGGCACAGCTTGTCTCCTGATAGATATCAGGAAATCCTGACCAGTAGGTTTGTGTTAAGAGTTTTCTTATTATGGGATGGGATACATACATATTCAAATTTTAAACAAATTAACTTTTGATAAAAATAATAAAATTTTAGCTTAAAAACCTTTAAAATAAGAAAGCAAACCGAAATACAACTATAATTATGATTTTATTCACTTAAAAATGGAAAATTACATGTTAAAGACAAAGAGTTTGTTTAATTGGATGGTGTTTGCATTCTCTAAATGTTTATATAGTTGTCCATAATTTTAAAAACACTGGATTGGAAGGATGGAAAAGAATAATGCCTAAACCTTTAGGGTCTATAGTTTAATCTCATTCCTAGAGTTTCAAAGTCTATGGCGATAGAATTGTAATTCATTGCAGTATCCTTTTCCCTACATGTATCACCAACAGAGAATAATCATCAATGGGATTTTTAAATATTGGAAATTATTCTGACATAACTTTGCAGATAGCATACTTCACCAGCACAGTTGCCATAGGATTGTTTTAATTCATTATACCAGTAGTAATGAGTTGCCAAATCCCATAATTCTTCTATTTGTCTTTAAAGAGCATTGTTGATTATTGATTATTAATTTTCACCTATTCTGCTATATCTTCTCCTGAAAAGGTGGAATCTCTTATATTTGCAATGATCTGAAAATAATTTCTGAATTCCAGTGGCACAAAATATCTTCTGTGTTTTTGCTTTTAGTCATTAAACACATCTATAGCTCTTGTTCCTCTGTTTCCGTGTCTTCATAATGGAGGATCACCTCCACTGTCTGTGAGCCTTTTATCTTTGAACAGATAAGCTCCTGTGCTTTCTCATCATCTGAGGTTTGGCCTTGCTAGTTCAATCCTTTGACTTTTACTGCTATGAGCTTACAATTGCTGCAAATATACCTAGTTGATTTCAGACAGGAACATGTCATAAGCCCTGTAGATATTAACTCCCTATTCTTGTATTTTTATCTTTTTTCTAATCATTGATGAACATTTTAATTTTAGCATCAATTCAATACATAATGATTAAGGTATGAGCAGAGCTGAGTAAACTCATATAAACTTAATAAACTTACACCCTCATTTTAAATTCCTTGAATAAGAAATAAATAAACAAAAAAATAGGTACAATGAAATCTCAATTTAGTGGACCTCAGTATAATGGACTTTTTAGGCAATGGAGCACATTTCTGTGGCAATTTACATCATTTGCATAATGAAATTTGCACCATCTGCACATCACATAAATCACTATAATGACATATGTTTATATTTAATAGATATTTTTGAATAAAAGATATCCCTCTAATGAATTAATCATTAGAAGGTTTCATTTCCCCCCTCCATCAATGTTACTACTTTCTGCAACATCAACTTCATATTTCTTCTGGTTTATAACAGCAAACTTCACATCTGAGATCACTTATCTCCTTCAGTGGACTTCTTCACTTTTCTTATTCCTGTTTTAATTTATACTAACCTACTGTCAGCAATATTTGTAATTAATTTTCTGATTAAGTAATTTCTAGTTAAAACTCACTTTTTAAATACCAGCATATATAGAAGAACCATATAATTTCATAAACCCCAGAAAGTTCCTAAACCTGATTTAGAAAAATCATTTAAAAAGTTCAATGAAGTTTAAGCACATTCAATATTCTATGAAGCCTTAGACAGGCTGTGTTATGATGCAGAAAGCAGTGATAAAACCTGAAATATATACCTGCTTTCTTACTTTTAGCTACTTTGGAGAACACTGTCTATTAATTCTAGTTTCTTGTTTTTTAAGATTTCACCTTTTTTGGCTCCCTAACTTGATGCCCACAAGATATATTGGATTAGCTGTCATAATAAACTCAGAAAACAAACATAAATTCCAAACTTATTGTGAGATTTTAGAAATTAAAATGCTCTTTTATTTATTAATTATTTCTTCCACATTCTGTTCTTTTAATCTGGATCTAGCAAAACTTTGTCATAAAATATTTATAATTAAGATTTCTGTTATCCCGATATGATAATTTGCATCTGGAAGTCTAACTTATATCTCCAAGTCCTTTTTCATCACTAATGGAATAAATCAACCCAGGCAATAAACATATGCACTTTTATTCCTCATTTTTGTTAAAAGTGACAATAAACTATTTGAAAAAGACATTTGGTTCCTTCTCAATCTGATTTACCTGCCATGCAATCAGATCCTTTAGCTTTTCAATTTTTTCATGGTCTTCTGGGTGTTCATATATGTATTTCTCATTAAAAAAAGCCTAATGGGAAAAAAGCCAGCAGTTATTTAGTACAATAGCATTTATACAATAATGATAATAATAATTATTATTAACAACAACAACATAATATTTAACATTACCAATGGCTCTGGGGAAAATATTTCTGAGAAGAAGGAAAGTAGACACCTAGTAGATACCTATTTCACTTGTGCTCTTCTCCCCACTTCCTGAAGGACCGTTGCCACCAATTGATTCATGGGGGACATGGAAGGAAGGCTATTGATGGCTATATCAGAGCTTATTTTATCTCAGCTGTCCCTTCCTCCAATAAGATCATTGTTAACAATGCCTTTTGGGGAACAATATTTCTGTTTTATTAGTGACATGTTGAAACAAATAAATATTGGTATAACAGTAAAGGTAAGGGTTTCCCTGTCAGTCATGTCTGACTCTAGGGCATGGTGCTTATCAGCCAGTATTGTCTGAAGACAATTTTCATGGTCATGGGCCAGCATGGCTATACGCCAAAGGTACATAGACAGCTGTCTCCTTCCATGGAAGTGGTACTATTAATCTACTTGCATTTGCATGTTTTCGAACTGGTAGATGGACAAGAGCTGGAGCAAGTAACGGGAGTTCACCCCATTGTGCGGAGTTCAAATCTCAAACCCAGACTGTCAACTCTCCAGCTGACAAACTCAGTGTCTTTAACTGCTGAGCCATCATACTCCCAGTATAATTTTTATACCAAGTATAATTTTATATTTGGTATAAAAGTACCAAATAATAACAAACAAATCAAATTGTTATTTGCATCAGCAAATAAGCTTATCAATTTATGAAAGAAAAATAAGACCTATCTCAAATTTGAGGATTCAAAAGTATTAATTGGCATATATAAAATAATTGTAAGACACTTAAAGCATTCATGACCATGAGAAATGAAGCAGGAGATGAGGAATATAGCATTCTCCCACTTGTGTTTCCCAAAAAATGATAAACAGAAGCAAGTAATATCTGTCATCATGACTAATAGATGCTGATGGCTTATTACTTCATAAATGACTCTGCCTTTTAATAAAAAGTTAGAAGCATTTCTAAAATGATTTTTGAAAAAAACAAACTTTTTTTTGGTGGGAAAATAGATTCCAACTGAAAATACAATCCTGCAATTTTAACGTTTCAAAAGGAGGTAAATATCTGAACAGGCACAGTACTGAATATAACTATCATTAAAGATTCTCATCATTATCATAGAGAATGAAGACTGGAATCATGCATTGTGAAATGTGACCTTTCTTTCATTTAAAACAGTTAATGATGGAGGCATTTTTATGAGTGCGAATAAATATATAAATGAGGGTAAAAGTTCATTCTCTGAGCCTGTGGGTTGGTTTCTGAATGTTTCATTACCAGGCTAGGTAAAATCTTCAGCAGAATATAGGGGATGTCAGTATTCTGTTTATACGGTTTCAGGTGTCAGTGTGTCAAGTGAGGTCTGTGGTGAGTCTTGCTATGGGCCAGGTGTGAGTCTTGTGATGGGGAGGTTACCTCAGGTCAGGGTCATTGGGAAGTAGACTGTTGCATGGGTGGGTTGAGGGTTGGTGGTGTTTCTGAATAAATCATTCAGAAACCAACCCACAAACTCGAAGAACAAACCTTCACCCTTATCCAACACCCGAGCTACAGATGTTTTCCACTACTGTAAATACATAAATGACAATAATCTTTTAAAGTGCTTCATGTTGCATTTATACAACTTAAAGTGCTTCATGTTGCATTTATACAACTTTGCTTCATCTTGGATTATATTTACTGCTAGAACGGTGCCAAATGCTATGATTCTAAGCCACTAAATGATGTAATGTGCATGTTAGAAAGTCACAGAATTATATCTGCACAGATTACTATAGGTCATTTAAGGAAGCCTAATTAAATAAAATAATTTTTTATCTGGTAAAAATAACATAATTTTGTCTACTTAGCACTAATGAATCATCATTGCTGCCAAATCTGGGATCAGTTTAAGTCTTTTCAGTATTAATACAATATTGTAATCAGGGAATATAAGCCAGCTCTTGGTCTAGCAAGCTGATTCATTCCCTGCCCCCATTTCAGGTAACAAAGACCTGCATATGGTGGCTGGATTCAACAGCCACCTAAAAGTTCCTTTGCCTCCCTTCAGGACAAACACACCTGGGCCAGAAAAGATGGTTTGATTGGCTTACCCTATCAGCCATTCACAGCATTCTACTCTTGAATCTAGCAGCACATAGTCAATGTAATAATGCGGACTCTATATCTAATTTCTTCAATCTTGCTTAATATAATGAGGCCCTAAACCAGTGGTTCTCAACCTGTGGGTCGGGACCCCATTTGGGGTCGAACGACCATTTCACGGGGGTCGCCAAACAAGGCTGTCAGCCATTTTTCCCCCTTTTCTTTGGCCACGCCCTTGGCACCCGGTGATGTATAAGTGGTTGGGGGTTACCACAACATGGGGAACTGTATTATGGAGTCGCAGCATTAGAAAGGTTGGGAACCACTGCCCTAAACCAAAAGTGTACTGGCTGTTATTTCTTCACAGAATTGTATACTGTCACATAGATGCATGGATTTTGAGATTTCCACAACACAGGCGGGCAATCTAAATCACAACTACAAACTGACAATTGCAAACCTGCAAACTGAATCACAATTTGGGGTTAAATTGCTGCTCTCCTGGCCCACTATTGACCATTAGTAGATTCATATAAACTGTCTGGGCTAAAAGCCATTGTAAAAATGTGGCTAAAGGGGTCTCCTCAAAGCCTTACCCTGGCACCAACTTATCCAATGGTAGATTAAATATAGCTTTCAAATCAGATTTAATTCTTCAGTTTGTCTAATAATTCAGAGGAGAAAGAAACAAGATAGCACAAATTCTTCCTTGATTTTCTTTTCTGCATACTGATCCTCATTACTTATCAAACAAGAAATGTTTCACCTTATTTTCCAATTTCAGTGACTCTTTGTCTTGCCTGAACTGCTACAAAAACATTTTAAAAGTACTTACATTAGTAAATGATTACCCATTTTAATATGAAATACATTCTACTAGTAATGGCTACTAATCAATTTATTAGTAACTTATTCAATTGTGGCAATAAGTAGCTACACTGTCATGCCATTAAGCTCTATAATATAGAGTCTATATTTTTCATTTCTACAGCATCACTACTGAGAGAACAAAAATCAACCAAACCTTTTCGTAATTGGTGAAGCCTCCCATGACAGCAGGGTCCACAATGCCATTTAGCAGCATCGACAGAGGGTTAATAGGTAAATTTGGATCATTCAAATGTTGCTGAACCATATTGTTAATTTTATCGTTTGCTAACTGCATAGTTTCAATTGCATTTTCAAGTGGACTGATTTCAATCTGAGAAAACAAATTTTTAACAATGATTACAAGAGCTGAAATAGTTTGAATTCAGATATTACCTGAAAACAATAAATTTGTTCCAGAATTTTTTTTAATGTAGTTTTAAAACACAATATTGAATAATGATGCTCATGCTCCAGAATTTGGACAGACAAATGCAATAACTTGATAATAAGCAAAAATGCTTTTGTTTAGATTAACCATCATTCATACACAGTAAAACAGAAACTGAACAAATCAAAAGCTACATGGTAGCTCTTTGTACACTCAATGGACAAACTGCTGTCACCTTTTGCTATCTTGCATTATGTCACAGGTAGACTGCTTTTGAAATTAAAAAGATGGAAGATGAGGAGGATGGAGAGATAATAAAAAATTCTTAATCTCTAGCATGTATTTCATGTTACAAAGATTTTTCATTAAATACACAAGATGGTAGGACTGTTGCAATATTTTGAAAGATGCACCACAAAGAGGAGCACAAAGAAAGTACTTCTGTTTGAACCAGTAATGCAGCTGTTTCCATTTCCTATCAAACACGGTTGCTTCAAAGGCTGTTCCTGACTATGCATGCAGTGACAGTCAGGGTTATTTTAATAATTTAAAGAGAGATCTCTTTTTCTTCTCCAATCCAACAGAGACACACCCTTTTGAATAATAATGACACACATTTGAGGTATGTCAAATTTTATATCTGATTGCTGTAATTTTCATAAACTTTGTAGAAAAACAGCAGTAGCTTAAGATATTTCTGAAAGGCACATAATCAAGTCTTTGTAACTGTCACTTATATACATACATTGATTATGTTCAACCTGTGTTAATTAATTGTCTTAATTAATTAAGTTTCCAAAATATTTAAATTTTAACTTCATTATTAATGCTTCCAGCAAGCTGTGTGCTTTTAATTCTTCTAGCATTCTTACCAATTTTCTACACGCTACAATTTAAAGGCATATTTTTTTCCTAAAACCAACTTTCACAGTGATACCTCAGAACTGGGAAGACAAGGGCCTTCAGAATATGTATGTTTGTCATCAATGTATTATTTGTGCAGTTTTATATATATACCTGTCATAGTCTTTATCACAGATGTCTCTTTATTTCATGACTATAGTCGCCATTCCTATGAATTTTTGACCATAGGAAGATAAAGTGGCATTGGACTGGCATTGACACAATCCTAGTTTTGTTTAGTGTTATTTAGTATAGCGGCTGATGAAGAAGTTTCTCTTCTTTCACCTTCAATAAGAGGTTCATTATGTTCTCCTTGCTTGTAGCCATCAAAAAAGTATCATCAGTAGGTTTTTCAGGTTGTTGTTATTTCCCAGTTTCTATTTCTTCTAATTCAGGATTTCTCCTGCATATAACTAGATAAGGAGACAGTGTATTGTCTTGGTACACTAATTTCTCAGATAACAACCATTTGATTGCTTCATCTTGCATTCTGTTGCTTCGAGTTCATTGTAGAACTTTTCAATAGGCAGATAAGGTGGCCTCTACACCCATCTTTTTAAGGGCTATGGGCAATTTATTGTATCTACAGTATAAAGAAGCCTTAGAATAATCAATAAAAGGATGTCTTTGGAGAACTGTAGCCTTCTCCATTATCCAGAAGTGATTACCAATGTGGGCTGCCTCTTTTGAATCCAACTTGTACATCTGATAGTGCTTGTTCCACGGATTGTTGAAGCATGGAATGCAAAACCTTGACCATTTTCTCATTATCAGGTATCTGCAATTATTTGGTAGCTTCAACAATTTTTAACACTGAAGTTTTTCTGATACTGGAATTTAAATTGATTTTTTCCACTTCCTTAATCTTGCTGTATTTGCCACATCTGTTTACTAACTGCAAATTAGTAATTATTGTGCAAAGCTTTAAACAGTTCTGTTGCTATTTCATTTCTGCAGTTTTATTGTTAGCAATTTTTTTTTAGTCCTTCGTAGGTGTCATCAATTTATAGATTGTGGGAATAGTTCTTATGTTTATACCATTTTTATAGTTTTGTCTAGGAAATGTTTATCTTTTTTATTCTTGATTGTGCACATCTTTGCAAAAAAGATTGCCTTGAAATCTGTAATTGTTATCCATTCCTTGCTTTCTCTTTAGATATAACTCCTTGGGTTTTCTAAAACTCAGTATATGGTGAGGCCAAAATTTTCCTGTCTCTTTTACTATCTGCCTTTCTTTAACTATTTTCAACATACCAGCAGAAGGACAATTTGGCTTATTTTGCATTTTGCAATATTTTTGTTTCCTGTTTAATGATATAATACATTTCAGTCTAGAGTTCTTCAGAGATTTTATCAAACCTAATTCATTAAATCAAATTTTTAAACATTCACTGCATTATCCCACAGAATATTGCTGAGGTTATATTTTGTCTGATTACATTATCCATTTTATTTAACTTAATTTTGTAAGAAGGAATATCTCATCTGAACCACAATCAGCACCAGGACTTCTGCTGACTATTTTTTTCATCTTTGTTGATACAGCACCAAAAAATATAGGACACTAGTTATAGGTCTCTGAAAACTTTAGTATCAAATTTTCATTTTATTTCTAGATGGATCAACAGGATTTCTACCTTGAGCATTTGTCAAGATCTGGCTATCTACTTTAAAGTGAATCAGGCAAAGTAGAACAAATCTAGATGAAAACAATGAAGAGACTAGAAACTAAGTCTCACAAAGAGACGTTGAAGGAAATTTGAGAAGAGAAGAATGAGAGGAAATATAACTTCCTTCTAAAAGCATCATATAGAAAATGGGTAAGATCTACTCTCTTATTATTTCACAATTCCAGGACATGATATGATGGATTTAAGCTATATAAAGCCAGATTTCATTTAAATGTTAGAAAAATCTCCTAAAAATGAGAGCAGTATGACACTGAAACCAATTACCCAGAGTGATAGTGAGATCCCCTTCACTGCATGCACAAAGGAAGCTAATCGGCTATCATTTGGCATGCCTTTAATTTGGATTTTTGTGCAGAGCAGGGAGTTGCATCCAATTGCTTAACTAACAATTTCAAACTCTGCTGCTATAGTTCTAATGTTAGGCTATCTAACCTGTTCGATATAGTTTAGGCAACATAAGATTACAGATATATAGATTAACATTTTCAATTTTTAATATTTTCTTTTTCTTTTTTTGGAAATATACAATATTTCATCTATAATTTTAGAGATTCTGAATTTTTTCCACTGTAACTATCCTTGTCTACTTTTTTTATTATTTTAGAACCTATCAACATAGCTATGATCATACTGCTATTTTATACATTCAGTGAATATATGAATCCTCTAATCTCAGTGCCCTTATGATCTCTCCTGTCTTCTTTTCCCATTGTAAATGTATGTGGATGTTTCACTCCAGTTATCCACTGCTTACTCCAATATTTGCCTCAGTCAAGAGAAAAAGAAGATTTTTATCAGGTCTTCCAGCCCGACTGAGGCAGTTTAATAAATCACAAATCTGTGATACCTGTATATATTCACCAGCAGGTATAATTAGAAATGGAAACAGATAGAAATACTAAATTCATTAAAATGACATTAGTTTTTAATGGGATTTATTTGACTTTGCTGGAATAGTTTCTGTTAATTAAATGTTACTGTTTAACCTACAACTCAAAAGACAGGACTAAATTTGAAGTCATGTGATTATTCCTTATTAAGGAATACATTTCAGAAACAATCATGAATCAATGTCTATGAATACCCTAATTACAAATTTAGTGATAAGATTAAATCCTAATCAGAAGAAAAAAACCAGTTTAAGGAATCTGCTGAGTATATTGTGATCTCAAACTAGGTAGAAAAGAGGCCTGCACATATTGGACATAACCCTTATTCTCCCTGACTATCATGTATATTGCTGAACATCTGGAGATTGGGAAAATAGATGTGCCTGCCTGAACAATAAGTCTGAATGTTTGAACTCGCCATGTGTTCAACTGGAGACCTAACCAAGCCCTAACTATAAACATAGTCAACAGGACAAATTTGTGGTCTCTAATAATTAATCTATTTATGTCAATCTGCATAATACATTTCCACTTCTGATAATACATTTCCACTTTTATTTTGTGATTGATTACAATGTAAATATAGGAGCAATTACTATCTCCAAAATCAGTATTTATTTGCATACTTTCTTCTCTTATTCTTTGCAAATATATAACTAATAAAATTAATCTGGAGAGCATAATGTTCATGTCATAATATGTTTTTTGTTCATTCCATCACAAATACTAACACTAAGAAGACGCTGTCCCAAAGGTGTTTTTTCAATAGGCAACTGAACTTTCCTGTTTTCCTTTGAAGATGTTTCTCTTCTCATCCAAGAAGCTTCTTCAGCTCTTCTTGAATGAGAAGCGCAATGTCTTCAAAGAAAAACAAGAAAGTCTAGTTGCCTCTTCAAAAGCACCTTTGGGACAAGATGACCTGGATGACTGAAAACCTCCATAGACATAAGAAGAAGCTGGTTTTAAGAATGGTTGAGGTGTATTAATTTCAACTGTGTATCATTATAACCTTATTTACAAAAAACGTATACAAAAGAATTAGAAACAATTATGCATAATTATGTGCTATGTGTAAAACTGATCTGCTTCATATTGTCACTGCCTATCTAAATAAAGCTGATTTCATAACAGGAATTTTAATCAGATAACACATGACTAAAGTCATTAAATAAACTATAACCCATCAGTATCAGTATAAAATTTATCCATCCTTTGAGTTTCAATGTCTGCACATTCAGTTTTCTGTGCTAAATTTAACAGTTCATTTTAGAACATATTTAATTTGATTTTGAAAAAAAAAGATTTTTAAATTATATTACCATTGAATTTCTATGTTGCCCATCTCTAAACTCTGTGTAGTTTATTTAGAAAATACAATATTATGATAAAAATAAGTAGATTCCATAACAGTAGTTAAAACAGAAATAGCATTACAACAGGAACAATCTACTTTTAAGCCTCTGGCACCTTAATGCCATGTGGAGAAGAAAACTAAATCATCCCCTTCCAATAACTTTGTAGGATGGGCAAATTTAATTTGGAGAGATGTTATGTAAGGCTATATAAACCTCAAATTCAAAACCATTCTGCTCTAACAGAAATCCCTTTCACAAAAATGCAAACCGATTACAAATGAAAAACTTATAATTTATTCTCAAACCTGATGTAGGTAGAAATTGTGTTTCACCCCAATATAAAATTATTTCTTTGAATCTATAGTTCATTCATGATAATGTTTCAGAATCTTTCATTTCATAATCATAGCACACAAACTATTTTTAATCATTTCAGATGTCCAAAAACGCTCCATAGCAAAGTGAAGCTTTGCTGTCCACCATTTTTAATTTCTATAAATGGATCTAAGCCAAAATGGTGCCCAGATGGAAAAATAGGAAGGACAAGCAGATGAAGTATTTCACAATGAAGCACTTCTAGCCTTCAAATAATAATAATAATAATAATCAGCAAGGTATTTTCTAAATAAGGTGTAATGTTCTAATTGTCATGAAGATAGAAGGAGAGAGGAAGGATACTTAAACTTGCAAGCATTTATAATAAAAGTAGTATTGGCCTGCATGACTTTGGTTTCCTAGTTTGGTCTCCATAGAAGGACTGACGCAAATATAAATGCATGGAAGATTTCTGCAAACATTCAGAATGTAAGCATTAGCAAATTATAAACATTTTGATTTGTTTAAAAATATCAGCCATCTAATAAAGTGATCTTATTAACCTGAACTTACCATAAATACTGATTTGACTTCAAACCATCTTAAAATACCAGGTAGTTTATACGCTGTCACATAAATAGTTCTCTCAATCCACATATTCTGTAATTTAAGAGAAACGTTTTAAAGTAAAATGCTTATAGACTGACAAAATTATCCTAACCCAAAATTTATACTGTCATTATATAAAAATCTAGTAGCAAATGTACTAATGCCATAGTGGCAACACAATTACACAAAATGGATAAAAGAACACTTTTGCATCCAGTTTAATTAATTTTCTTTACGTTTTGTTATGAGCTTTTGCATTCATATAGATGACACAAGCGAATTAGCTCTTCCCTCATTTCAACACGTACATATATAAACAGTCTATACTGCAAACAATTATTTTATCCTCTAGTATTCTGTAGACAGCTATTTCTAGAGAATAAAATTGTACAGAACTGTTGCTTAGAAAATGAATGAGATAAAATCCCCAACTGGTGCAAATATCAGTTACAGAAGATGGAGGAAAAGAGTTTAATTTCCTCTCTTTCCCTATTCTGACTCCTTTAATTATCTGTGTCTCCCATGCAGTTGATACAAGCTGCATATTATATGCAAAGAAGTATTTAATATTACTTGTAATTTAGCCTCAAATAAGTGTTTATAATCTTTGTTTGCCAATAATGTGATATGTACAGGGAGCATAACTCAGTGGAGACATCTTAGTTTTTGAGTAAATATTTGAAAGCATAAATTAATTAAACTAAATGAAAAAGTGGTATTAGTGAAAATCATTTGTGCAGAAATTAATTTTTCATGACTAAAATCTTTACATTAAAATGCAACCACTTTTAAAAAACTAAACACTAATTTTTTCTTATTTTTGTTCATCTTGCATTTGATGACAAGAACTTCCTTAACACTATAAACTAAATGTCACATATACATACAAACTGTAAAGATTTACAGAAAGCTTTCTCTTACATATTAGACAAACACATTTAAAAGACATTAAGAAAACTGCATAACATGTTCAAATTACCGCAAATTCATTGTCTGGATTTTTCTCTCCTTTTCGAATGGGTCTTGAATATTCAAACCGCTGAACCTCATTTACCCTGTAGAAACTAGAAAGAGATAAACACACAATTGTATTTATAGTCTCATGTGGCCACAATATCTAAGATCACAACAAGGCTTTAAGTATTAAGCATTGTAGGAAAGTAATATTTTATAGGTCTAATATATATCCTACTAGCCTAAAATGAGGATTTTCAAACTGCAATATCACAATCCTCTAAAATGATAAATGGAATTGTATTGCCCCACCCTTCTGCCAGAAATCTTAGTGTCAGATTTTGATAAGGAATAAATATGTTATTTGTTTTTCATAATTAGATTTTAATCTATGTACAGTATCACAAAGTTTTCTGGCTCTGCAGTATCACAACTATCCAGTACTGCAGACCTGTGCAGGCAAAATAAAATGCAAATTCCAGAGTCAGATTTTTCTCATAAAGATACACAGTATTAAGAGATTGTGATCAATCTACAGCTACTATTGCAGATGATGGTGGAGTGGAAATTCTGCATTAGGACTTTCCAACGGAGACCGGAGAAAGAGGATTCTTTTCTATTGGAAAGAGGATGGCAGACTGAAAAATACTATAAGTTCAAAACATACACTCATTATTCTATTATCCGGAAAACTCAGAATTAGTTCATATGTTCATCCTTTAAAAGGTTTTTTCCCCCTAGAGAATGAAAATAAACTCCTATAAATTGGGTTCTAAAAGCATTCAGTTGTTGAGATTTCTGTAATCAAATCCCTTTTCTTTTTTAATAAATCTGGTTAGAGAAGCTTTTTCAAGAGCCTTGGTTTTGGGTGCACAAGTTTAATGCTATTGATACTATCAGTATTCACTACAACTTATTTGGCAAATTGTGTCATGACATCTGTGGCCTATATGCAATTTGAATCAACTTGGTGATGACATTATGACACATGACATTGCCCTTTTGCTCCTTTTGAGGATGCATATTAGTTTTTCAAATAAATAACAATGCTTTTAAAATAGTTTCCAGAATATGAAGATATGTTCTTTTAATGGTATACCAAGGCCTTAGATATTACTGCCACAATAACTGCTCAGGAAACCTTTTGTTTTGATTACTAGTGATATATAATATTTAGACCACATTTGTTTATTTTATGGGATATTGTCTAGAAGGAATTATAAGGAGGCACAATTCATACTGAATTGCAAAAATCCCTTATTTCAGTTCGCCTAAAAATAAACAAAACCTGATTGAAAATACTGATCTATCAGTAATACTGCCTTGTGCATGTAAAAGAATAACCAAAAGTCATTCACAAATTACTCTACTTTTTATCAATATTGAAAAATAAATGAAAACAGAAAATGAGAGAGAGCAGCTATGAAATCAAAATTATTTTTCTTCCTGAGATAAATGGAAAAAGATAATCTCTTGCTGCACCTTAAACTATCTATTTTTTGTGTGTGTGTTGATGAATTTAGATGCAGTTCTTCAGGCCATTTAGCAGATAATACATTTAAGCAAGTGCGGTCTACTAAAGCTATTCCTAGTAATTGCTCATTTCGAATGTGTCTGTACCTTAAAATTTGCTCTGATACAGGCTTGTGAAATTTTGATGGTAAGTCCAGTTTTGGCTTTACTGTAAAGCACTGGATATCTGTGTTACATGTTAAGAATTACAGTGATGTCTAGTTAAAGTTATGCAAATAAAGTACCTAATTTATCACACACACACACACAAACACATACTGTACACTGAATAAAAGTAAAAAATAATTCACTCAAGTTGTGCTTGACTCTTATGATTTCTTTGACCACCATAAGGAAAAGAAGTAATCTGCCTGCCACTGTTTTTTCTCCTAATTTCTGTTCTAATCTATAGCTCTGGGATTTCTTCTTGGTGCATCACTTGAATATGATCCAGACCCAAACCTGTTTAGCTTCTTCATGATCAGCCAACTTTGGCTAAATCTGACTCCTTCTTATCATCTTGACCTAGATACAACTCTTATGTAACAATAAGAGAATGTAGGTATGGCAAGAACCCCATGTTGAAATTCTTATTAAACCAAGACCATCAAAATTTTTAAAGGATACATTGGCCAGGAGAATTTTTGATATCTTCACCAGGAGGGGATGTAGTCTTCATTTTTTCTGCATTAGGAAACTGTGTTAATAATCTTGCTTCAAAATCTTCACGGCGTTCATATTCTTTTCCTCGATAAATAAAAACTTTGTTCTATAAACAGATATATAATATGTTTAAGTTTTTGACAGATTCCATTTGAATATACAAATGTGCATAATTTTTGGTTAAGAATATCTTTAATTGCTTCTACAATATAAAGCTAAACATTTCTAGAAACCAACAGAAAATAAAATTCTATACAAATCAATAGGGTTTAAAAAAAAAAACAGGTCCTGAAACAAGAATATACTTATACTTCCACATATTTACTTAACATTCATCATTTTTTTATTCTGATACATATTTTTGAATTAAATGAGTACATTATAGTTTTCAACTTATGGAATGAAAAATTATTTGTGAAATGAGGTTCTTTTATGATTACGACTATTTTATCATGGCTAGATAAATTTCCTTAAAAGTTTAAATGCTCTTTATAGATTAAATCTGCATTTACAGGAAAAAAAACCTACTGAAATTTACTAAACCTGTAAATCTGGATTTACAGGAAAAAAAACCTACTGAAATTTACTAAACCTGTCAGTCATAGACTCAACAAAAATAATGTTCCCAAAGATTTTACTGGGTCTATTCTAAGAATTATTTTCTTTGGATTGAATTCTATGTGCATTTGTATTACTACTATATAAGAATCAAAATTTTTAGAACACAAAATAGATAAATATAAAACCAGTAGGCAGGGGAGTAAAAAGAAAAAGGTTATTCTTAAACATTCATTTGTGATTACTAAGCCTTACAATTTTTTGCTCCTAACAACAAATGCAAGAGTACTATTGTGTTATTAAGAAAGCTAACATATTTTGATTAATATTTTTTGTAAACCTAACTTCATTGTATTTTATCTATGAAAAGTTTATTTGTATTTCCATTTAGCACATAAGCAATTTCTGCTATTATATTTCTATTTTTAAAGAAAGAAATAATACACTTGAACATGTGAAAATTGTTCTGTTTCATTTCTTAGGATAGCACTGTTATTTCACAATCTACATCTTACTCAGATTCAAATATTTTGGATAGCTTTGCTACCTCCCAAGTGATTTCTCATGGTTTTCCACAGTGCTGCATTTAATTATTCAACGTTATTAGCATTTATCTCTGTAACTGTGAAACCAGCAAGGAAATATGAGACATTTTCTAGAAATATTTTTTAGTAAAACACAGGTGGACTTCATGATTCACTTGGCTTTTCATCCAGCATTCAACCATGGGAAATAAAACATTGGTTAATGACTTGCTAAGCCTACAGAAACTAGAGTGGAAGCATGGAGTTAAATTCTAGAACACCGGAAAATTTCTGAAAATGTATCAAAATATTAGCCAAAATTCAAGAAAAAAAACAAAACGAGTATTCATTATTGTACTATGACCATCCACTGTATCTTCCACTCAATTTTATTCTCAATAAAAAGGATTTATGAACATTCGGAACACAGTCTTTCATTCAAAATGTATAGGATACATAATGTGTTTTTCTGGCCTGCAGCAAAATTAAAGTAGAGAAGGTTTTTTTTTAACTTACCCGTAAAAATGTCGGAAACCCTTGTCCATAATATCCAACTGCAAAGTAATCTGGTTTAGGTCTTATTACTTTCACAATATTTTCATAGAACTGTGCTTGTTTTTTCTGTGTTAAGAAAAACATAATTTTTAAAACTTTCTTTTTCTGGAGATTATATTTTCTTTTTCTTCATAAATCTTTCCAATCACAGCTACTTACAAATAAGAAACATTTAATGTATTTCACCCTAATTCTATAGGATGCTATTGCAGGCATGTTAACAAGATAAGTTACTTTGTGTGCAAAATCTAATAGATAAATGGAAAAGAGAAGACCAATTTCTCTTAATTTGTTTTATTTACGGGCTGTATTGAAAGTTTTTTTGCAAGTGTATCAGCTAGTAGTCAAGGGGAAAATCTGATGGTCAAATATAGAGAATTATTTGCAGCTTTTATAGCTGAATCAGGTGGAAAAAATATACAGTGGTATCTTTCTAAATAGAGCAGACTTTTAACAAGAAGATAAATGAAATTGCTATTGGAAGTATTTATTCCATTTCAGTATATGCTTTTGATTGAACCAGGGTAGAGTAATAATCTAATGCTCAACTCTTAATAATCTAATGCTCTACTCTGGCACTACTCTACTGCCAAAGAGTAGTACTCCTTAGTCATACTGCTTTACTAATATTTTCTAATATTTCTTTTTTAATATCCAATACTTCTTTGCATATATTTTCAGATGAGTATGTAATTATGGTCTCTCTTGATCTCTGTGTATAATAAGTGGTGATATATATTCAAGTACCTACTCTTCTAATGCTCCTATATATTGCAAAGTATAACTTGGTGTAAAAGATATTATAATATGTGAATTGAATCAAGCAGCAAACTAGAATAAGAAGCATATTCTTCCCTTATACCTAATTCTTAGATATGAAACATGTCTGCTTTCTCTATAGTAAGATTGAAGTTATAAGAATTGATTGGAAAATTCTGCATCAAGAGGCCCCAAAGCATTATATATGTTTTTTTCTCATTAATAGTACATTTAATCCAGTATGTGATACTCTTTTACCACTTCATAGGTTGCTTTTTGATCATTTGTTCTGCTGCAGCATGTTGACTGCCTTGATCCCAAGGGATTCTAGAGAGTATTTTATACACATGAATACGTATGGGCAACCGTCACTGTATAAATAATGGGATGAATTAAAAACTTTTAAATTAAACTCACTTTTTTTGGTGAAGAGAGCAGTGGGTGGGTGTATATGCAGTGTGTGTGTGTGTGTGTGTGTGCGCGCGCGCGTGCGCACGCACTTATAATAGTCAAGCCCAGCGTGATTAATGATAAAGGATTTAGGGATTTTGTATTTTGAACCAAAATAGATGAGCTTTATTTTTCATCAGACTTAGCCCTCAGATAGCCAAGATGTTTTGTGTCTTTAGACTATATTTATGTTAGATATAAAATTCTGATTCTACAATGTTGCTTGATTCAACTCACATATCATAATATTCTTTTATACCAACTTATATTTTATGATGCATAGAAACACTATAAGAGTAGGCACTTGATAAAGAATTGATAAAGAAATCTTTTTTAGATTATTATCAAAAATTATAAAAGAGTACTAATGTACAAATTACAGATATAAACAATTATTTAAGTAAAGCTAATTTTCCTAAATTAACAGAAGATCAGAAAAAAGAGATTAATGGTGTAATTACCAATGAGGAAGTTGTGACAGCTATTAAGCAACTGAAATTAGGCAAGGCGCCGGGTACGGATGGTTTGACATCTATTTATTATAAAACTTTAGTAGAAGAGATGACCCAACCGTTATGTGAGCTTTTTAATAATATATTACAGGGCTTAGAGATCCCTCCGTCATGGCGTAATGCTTTTATATCTTTGATTCCAAAAGAGGACCAAGATCTCACCTTGCCTAAGAACTATAGGCCCATATCTGTTTTAAATGTGGATTATAAAATTTTTGCAAAAATTATAGCCAATAGGTTCATGGGGGTTTGGCAGCAGCTTATACATAAGGACCAATCGGGTTTTATAACTGGAAGGTATATGAAAAATAATGTTAGACAAATTATTAATTTATTAGAATATCTAGATAAAAACAACCAAGTCCCTGCAGGGCTGATATTTTTGGATGCTGAAAAAGCCTTTGACCAGTTGAATTGGCAGTTTATGTTATGTTTAATTAAGGACATGAATTTTGGACAAAATATATTACAAGTTTTATCTAATATATATCAAAAACAGACTGCTCAACTTGTTGTAAATGGGGGTTTATCAGAGGTTTTCACAATAGAAAAAGGTACAAGACAGGGATGCCCATTATCTCCGTTATTGTTTGTCTTAACATTGGAAATTTTGTTGATTAAAATTCGGGAGTCTCAAGAAATAAAAGGAATAGAAATTAATAAAAAGGAATATAAGTTAAGAGCTTTTGCAGATGACTTGGTTGTTACTTTGTATCAACCTACTTATTCGGTAGTTAAATTATTACAACTGATTCAGCAATATGGGTGTGTCTCGGGTTTTAAAATTAATAATAATAAGACCAAAATATTATCAAAAAATATGACCAATTGTGATAAACAGACTTTGGTTAATTTAACAGATTTTGAAGTTGTTGACAAGGTAAAATATTTGGGGGTTACACTATCTGCTTCTAATGCAAAACTGTACAAAAATAATTATGAAAAGTTGTGGATTGGGGTACAGAAGGATTTAATGAATTGGAATAATTTACAGTTATCTCTTATGGGTAGAATTGCAGTTATTAAAATGAATGTTCTGCCAAAGTTTCTTTTTTTGTTTCAAATGTTACCTATTTTAAAGAATGAACTTAACTTAATTGAATGGCAGAAAGGTATTAACAAATTTATTTGGGCAGGGAAGAAACCAAGGGTCAAACTTAAAATTATGCAAGATTTCCGTGAGAGAGGTGGACTCAAGGTACCAAATTTGAAATTGTATTATGATGCGGTGGTACTAACATTGATTAGTGATTGGGTGAATTTAACAAATGTAGAAATACTCCATTTGGAAGGCTGGGATTTACTTTTTGGATGGCATGCCTATTTAATTTTTAATAAAAAAATGGACCGGGTTTTTAAATCTCATATTATAAGAATTTCTTTGCTTAGGGTGTGGAGGAAATATTATAGAAGTGATTTTAAAATACCATTACGGGCCATACCTTGGCATGCGATAGAGGGAATAAAGAAAGGAGTCAAGATGGATACGGTTTCTTATATACAATTACTTAGATGGGATGGTCAAAATTGGCAGTTAAAATCTTTGGAAGATTTAACACATGAAAATTTTACTTATTCATGGTTTCAATATAGACAAATAGTGGATAGATGGAAGACGGATTGTAATATGGGATGGCTTAGAGAAGATGAAAATCTTATCAAACAAGTAAGGGATCAAAGACCAACCCATATTAAGAGGGTTTATGGGGTTTTAGTGGAAATGGACTCAGAATCTGAATTAATCAAAGATTGTATGATTAAATGGGCACAAAATATCGGTGAATCAATTTCACTGGATACTTGGGAACTCATTTGGGTGAGGAATGTTAAATTCACACAAGCACAGAACTTAAGAGAGAATTTTTATAAGATGTTTTACAGATGGCACCTTGATCCAAAGAAAATGTCCATTATGTACCCTGATCTACAGCCTAAATGTTGGAGATGTGGTTGTTTGGATGCTACTTATTTTCATATTTGGTGGTCGTGTAAAAATATAAAAGCCTTTTGGATTAAGATATGGTGGAATATTCAAAGAATTTTTAGAAGGAGGGTAAAATTTACCCCGCAATTATTTTTATTAGGTATTATTACTGACTGTGATGCTAAGGAAGTTATACTGATGTTAAATTTGATTACAGCCGCTAGGCTGTTAGTTGGACAATATTGGAAGAAGGATTCTTTGCCTACTTTGCAAGAGTGGTTTTATAAAGTTTCTTATTTGGCGGAAATGGCAAAGATTTCGGCTTTCTTAAAGGAGCAATCTCAAGAGAAATTTTTTGTTGTATGGGAAAAATGGATAAATTTTATACAATATAATTTGGATATGGAAAAATATTATTTAGCTTTCTTATAGCTTGTATAGATTGTTTTTTCTTTTCTTTTTCCGTCTTTTGTTTTTTCTTTTTTATCCTTTTTTTTCTTTCTCTCTCTCTTTCCTTTCTTTCTTTTTTCTTTTTTAAGTATTTTTTTTACTAATGTTTATATATATTCTATTATTATAAGATGTAAAATTTGTTTAGATATTTTAAAATTTTAGATAAGCCTATATTCAGTTCTGGGAAGTTCGGGGAGGGGGGAGGGAGGGGTGGGTTTGGGAGGGATGGGGTGAGGGTTGATTTTTTTTTTGGTTGTATATTTGTAAAACTTTTAAAAATTTTCAATAAAAAAAAAAGAGTAGGCACTTGAACATATATCACCGCTTATTATACACAAAAAACAAGAGAGACCCATCTGAAAATATATGTAAAGAAATTAGCGAAAAGTTTCTGTGCACAAGGTTTCACAAGCTAATTGTTTAGTAATAAACATTTCACTATACATAACTCTATGGTAAACTCTGCCCTTAAAACAGGCCCAGACCACTACTAAAGTCAGTCCTCACTTAGCAACCTATATGGTCCTTGCTTGACAACAGCAACCAGGACTGTCAGAATTGCTATTGCTAAGTAACGTGATCATGTGATATTGAGTTTTACAACCGCATTGCTTAGCATCAGAAATTATGACCCCAATTACAGTTCAAGGACTACCTTTTTTAACATACTTGCTACTGATACCTAAAATCAGTAGCAAGTATGTTAAAAAAGGCTTATTTCTAATTCAAACTGTTTCTTTTAATGTTGTGAAATATGTCCTGAAATAGTGCTATATGAATTTGCTTTGTAATTAATACTGAGATACTTATGTTAAGTTTCATGTTTAAAATCATTTACAAATGAGTTAAAGACAAACCTACCAGTACTTCACTAAGTTGTTCGTAATCAAACATTTCATTTTCATATTGTTCTGAAAGCTCTTTGCCCAAGACAATGGCTTCTTCCCACATCTGTTAAAAACATAACTAAATTTTAATTAACTTTAATTCAGTATTTAAAATTAAAATTCAGTTAATATTTATTCAACAACAGCAATAAAAAGTTCAATTTTATCTCTGCTTACTAACAGATTCTAGTTAGCCATTCAAGGTGCTAATCAGAAAGATAAACATAAAGAATTAAGTAATATAAAGACACTTATATAATTTAAGTATTAACCAATCAGATTAAACTGTCCTGGCTAGAGAGAAAGAGTTTGATTAATTTCATAAAAGTAGGAAAAGTATAGAGCTCAGCTATCATACACTACATTTCACAGTGTGGGAGCAGTATAGAAGGTGACTTTTTTTTTTTTTTTTTTTTTTTTACAAAAACCTACATCAAGTCTGACAAAAAGCAGGTGGGAAAATGTGTCATAGTGTGATTAAACTAAGGCTGAACATTTTGGCCATAATTCCAAAAAGTATATTTAGTGCAAAAACAACACTGCATTATCACCAAAAATATACCATGGAAGCATGGTGGTGATAGCAGCATTATCCTTTGGGGTTGCTTTTCCTCTGCTGGAATGGGGCTTTAGTCAAGGTGGAAGGAATTGTAAACAGTTCCAAATATATACATCAATACATTTTGGCACAAAACCTTCAGATCTCTGCCAAAATGCTGAAGATGAAAAGCAATTTCACCTTTCAACATAATAGTGACCCAAAGCATACCTGCAAATCAACAAAAGAATGGCTTCAGCAGAAGAAGATCAAACTTTTGGAATGGGCCAGCCAGAGCCTGCAATTGAAAATTTGTGGGGGGATCTCCTGTGCACAGGAGATGTCCTCACAATCTGACAGATTTGGAACACTTTTGCAAGGAACAGTGGGCAAAGACTCTCAAGACAAGATGTGCCATGGTGATAGACTCCTATCCCAAAAGACTGAATGCTGTCATAAAATCAAAAGGTGCTTCAATGAAATATTAGTTTAAGGATGTGCACCCTTATACAGTCATGATATTGTCTGCTTTTTGTTATTTTTAGGGGGATGGGTGGGTAAAATGTGTCTCCTTCTCCAAACTGATGATTGTAAACCTATTTCTCCATAACCCATGTTGTCATGCTTTCTAACCTTGTGTCTTTATCCAAAAAAAGAATATATGAACCTTGTATCAGAATTCACATTTCATCCTCTACAGTACAGAATATCCAGGGTAGGGATTAATACATCTATATGCCACATCAAACTGGATTAGGTGCTTATCTTAGTGGAGATACGATCCAATGTTGGGAAAACTCATACCATAGTTTAGGATGAACTAGTACTATATACAGTATGTGAGAGTCAGTTTGGTCTAGTGGTTAAGGCACAGGCTACAAATCAAGAGACTGTGAGTTTTAGTCCTGTCTTAGACATAAAATCTTTGGGCCAGTCACTCTCTCAGTCCGGCTCACTTCACAGGGTTGTTGTTGTGGGAAAAATGGGAAGAGGAAGAATTAAATATGTTCACTACCTTGAGTTATTTATAAAAATAAAGGTGGGATACACACCAATAAAAAATAAAGCTCACTTCATTTCAATTATGTATTCAGGATTTCTATTCTGCCTTTCACTACAAGTCAATCAAATCGATAAGCAAGTAGCACTTTGCTAACTAACAGAGCCTGCAGTCAAAGTAGAGGAGCTAAGTAGAAAAAGAAAAATTAAAAGGAATATTTGAAAAGATTCATTTGAGTCAGCCTGAAGGGAGGTCAGTGAGGAAGAGTAACTGTATTAGGGGGCTGCCACAAAGAAGAGGGAGTCAAGCTATTTTCCAAAGCGCCTGAAGGCAGGACAAGGAGCAACGAATGGAAACTAACCAAAGAGAGAAGCAACCTAGAACTAAGGAGAAACTTCCTGACAATTAGAACAGTTAACCAGTGGAACAACCTGCCTCCAGAAGTGGTGAATGCTCCAACACTGGAAGTTTTTAAGATGAGACTGGAGAGCCATTTGTCCGAAATGGTATAGGGTTTCCTGCCTGAGCAGGGGGCTGGACTAGATGACCTCCAAGGTCCCTTCCAACTTTATCATTATTATTATGGATCATCGCACAGTCAGCCAGATGTTCAGACTGGATTTTGCATTTTGTCTACCTATCGAGTCCTTACCCAGGACCTGGGATAGGCATTATTATTATTATTATTGGAAAAAAATGGGATGGTATAAACTAAAAACTTAGAAAATACCTGAAATAAGGGAAGCATTAGCAAAACTTGGGAAGAAATTATTAGTTTGCATATTTTACTGACAAAGCATTGGGTTACTTACCTGTATCCTTAATTAAAGTAAAAGAGCTACATAATTTATTCTAAAATAATCAGACATCAATGAAATTATTTTTAAAAATGGCAGGAAATCATAAAAATATATTTAAAAGACCCAACATTCATTCGGCTATTTTATTTCTTTGGTTTACTTTTATTGAATTCCAATGCAAGTTGGTACCTCCATGGTTAATAGTACATACAGATCCTACTGACAGAGTAGGTAAGAGCAGCTAATTCAGTATTTCAGGTGGCTCCCTGCTGAGACCTCGATGAAAATTACTTTTTTAAAACTATGAGTTGCATGACTGAAGTCTTTTGCACCTGGGTTGGAGGAATTGCTTTCATGACTGAATGTAAATAGCAGTGGTCTACAAGTAACATTAAATGCATTCTCAAGAATATTTTATTTTTACTTTATTTTACTTTCATAGCTTCTTTAGACTGTCTTTCTCCCCCACTTTTTCCATTTCCTTTTGTCCTGTGTTCCTTTTCTTATAATTCTCTTTATTTGCAGCAGAGCCACCTTGAAAAGTGGCCATTTTAGCTTATGTTTCATATAAATAAGTTTCATATGCATGAAGAAAAATAAATATCTAGTATTTTATTCCAAAATTGTTTATCTAGTCATCAGAGGTAATAATGTTAAAATGGATAGACAAATTGCTCTTCTACAGTATACTTGTAATCATCAGCAAAGTACAAGATGTACTTCAGTTGATAATTAGAGAATATCTTGGTGGCTTTCTAATCAACAGGAGTGAAATATGGAATGATGAGCACTCTCAGGAAGTCAATTTTCTAAATATAGGTCTATTTTATCTTTCTCTTATTATCAGGATTTAGAGGGAAGATTCCCAAAGATGCTACCCAAACATGCATATCTCAGTAGTTGAATTTCCTTGAACACCATATTGATGACAACCTTAGGAAACTAGTGCTGTGTTTTAATTTTTTCATTCCCTACTGAGAAGCTGAGATGCTTTCTCATATTATTTATTTCTGTCCTCTACTGAACACATATTCAGAAGTTTCCTTCACTTATTTCTTATAAATGGGACATAAATGCTTCATAGGGTATCATTTGGATCTTTACACAAACTTACACTGAAATTTTCTTTAGCTTTATGTACATGAACTGTGGGAAAAATTTACTGTATCTGAAATGCTTCAAAAAAAAAAAAAGAAAGAAAATGTTTTGGATGAACCAGGATGAAGACTTTTCTTTCAACACATATTTACATGCTTCCTATTTCTTACAACTCTAAGTAATTTACAATATATAAAAGTCACAACATACATAAGCCATTGTAAAAAAAAATCCCCAATTAATAAATAACATTCTTGTTATTCTTGAACCTACCTTCCAACTTGAATGTCCTCTCAAAAATACTGTTGTAAATTTTTTTCTAAAGATCATACATTTGTAGAAATATATCTGTTCTCCAGCCATGCTGATTTAGATGGAGTGGGCTACTTATGAAAATGTGGCTTTCTGAGTCTTAACTCCCAATTACTATAAATCATTAAATGTGATGCCATTTAGGACTTCCTGCTTGTCAGCTGTGAAGGTTACAGGGGGATGCTGCAGCCATCGTAATGTGTGCCAGTTGACAAACACCCAAACTGCAATCACATGACCATGAGGACTCTACAATAGCTGTAACCATGAGAACTGGTCATAAGCTTCCTTTTGAATTTGAATTTTGAGTAGTCAGTAAGCAAGGACTTTGCCAAATCAACTAATGGTGACCAGAAAGCGGGTAGCCACATCTTCAAGAGCAGCTCCACATAATCTAACTAATCTAATTTACAAATGATATAAGCATGACTCACTGTCTTTAGTAACAGAGAATTTGTCCCATATTTGTTATTTCTGGCTATTATCTATTAGTCCCACTCTTTTGTTTATTTTCCTTATGGAGAATTCTTCCTATCAATTCTTGTGTAGACAAGATTTGATAAAACTACCATTGGCTGAGATGTAGCCAAGTCATTGTTTTAATTCTGTACAGGCTTGTAGTTGCAGCAATCAACGCCAGATCATCTCAGGAACATGAATATATCATAACTTTACAAATTATGATTGCAAAGCCTTGTCCACTCATAGTAACTGTTTTTTAAAGAAACAACCACTGAAGAATTATTTCTTATTGTTCCCATCTTGGACTTTCTGATAGTGTTACTGTTCACTTAGAAAGAAATTTCATTAGGAACTTGTCCACTGAATTTTAGTAAGAAACTCCTGTTTGTTTCCCATTTCTTTGCTTCTTCCTGTGCCAAAATCCCTGTGCCAAGCCTTCCTAAATCTAACAATAACCTTAAGTAAGTTTAAATGATTAATGATCTGAACAGTGAGGGGCAAAAGGATTGTAAATAGAAATGACTAAGGTGAGGGTGCAGGGAAAAATAATTTCTCACCTGCTAGCATAAAGCTGAACCAGTGCTTTTTGTTTTCAAAAAAGTAAATTAATATATAAATGAATATCTCACAGATTCAAGTGTACAATCTTGGATGAAACTGTGAAATAAAATAAATTTTATTCAAAAATATATTGAAATTATATTTTTGTTTTGGTAAACTAAGAAATGAGATATAAATACAGTTTCTTTTTGCTTGTCTATTATTTTTTATCCACTCAATGTTTTCTATTTCATTCATTTGAACAGAAATTGTGAATATTTTGCTCATACATGTATTACTGTGAACTGATCTAGCTGTTGAAACATGTTACAGAATTTCTGTATAGTTAAAAAGGAATATGAAATTGTACTACCTATCATGAACACTGGAATTCTAAAACATGTTATCATCTGTAATTGGATGATTATTGCAAGATATATAATCAACTATAAAAAATACCACAAGAAAACAAAGTTAAAAAATAATATATTTGTCAAGAGGTGGTACAATTTATCATTATCATTCAGAAACTAAAACTATTCAATCTTACAATTTGTAAAATTATTTTTGTGCAATTATTTTTAAATTCAAGAAATATTTTGTAAGATATAAGCTAGGTGGGTAGTAGCAACCTTTAAATGACTTTTCTAATTTCTCCTAGCCTTTATTTAAGAAAAGGCTTAATGAGATATATACTGTAGGTAATCGTTGACTTATGACTGGTTACTTAGTGACAATATGAAGTTATGGTAGAACATCCAAAAGCTTCTTATGACCTGATTCCAAAGTTACAGCTGTTGCAGTGTCCCTGCAGTCATTCACCCTTATGACTATAGGGATGCTGCAGTGCCCTCCACCTATCTCACTCCATTTGCTCCTACAGGGCCCACAGGCCTTGGGCCAGTTTCCCACTCCACTGGACTCCATATCCTTCTCCTCACTTACCTTCTGAAGATTTCCAGAACTCCATTTAAGAAGAAAGGCAAGCTGCTCTGTTCTGGTCTGTGTGGTACAATCCTAGATGTGGCCACCATTTTCAGAATGGCCACAATTCAATGTGTCCAGTGTCAAAAATGGCAGCTACTCTGGTATTGTTCCAGAAGGCTCAGGAATGGAGCAGTCTCTGGAGATCTTCAAAAAGTTAAGTGTACAATGGATAATGTGAAGTGAGGAGGAGGATGTGGGACCTGGTGGAATAGGAAGAAGACCCAAGACCTGAGGGACTCCAAGGGACAGGAAGCAGAACATGGGGCACCTCAGGGAGGGAAGGAGGCACAGGGCAGGACCTGTGCTAGTTCTCCCAGAGCCCCTGAGGCACCCCATACTCTGCTTAATGATCCACACATTTGTTTAATGACCACATTTCAAAGAGTAGGGATAGGGGGTCATAGTGAGGTGATCACATGGGGAGCTTCGAACTATTATTACTTCTGTCCATAATGAGCAAATCCATTTTTGGTTTTTGGTCAAGAACTATCTGTACATTACTTCCTATAAAGCTCATACCTTGAAGTGGCCCATCTATTATAATTATATATCCTTAACTAAGTTTCAGGATGGAGGGAGGGGGTCTTATCTGGAAAACTGGAAATATGAACTATTTTTGGCACCTATTAAATGTAATAGTTTGCAATTATTGTCTATTTCTCCAAAAGTGGATTCAAACTTCTCACGTTTCCTAAATGCTAAGAACCAGACAAAGCAAGTTCAAAGTTTCAGACAGAAAATTCAAGAACAATGAAAGACAATAAAAGTTGTTACATAAATGCTAACAAGTAAGTAAAAAAAATGGCTGATTGTTTAAAATGCAAAAGAAAGAAAGCAAAGTAAACACCTAGCAGTGCTCAAACTAGCTGCCTTCTTCCATTTATGACTACACTATAATACACAATTAGGACCAAAATAAAAATGAAGCTGCAATCTTTTTGCAAACTTTGCAATCCTAGTTTTGTAAAGGTCTGCACTGGTTAAGGCATTGTAAACAGATACTTTACCTGCTGTTCATAAACAGCTCATTAATACCATAGTAACAGAAATACACAAATCAGTTCTTAAAAAAAAAAGGTATTGCAGTTGTTACCTCGACAAGCAGCTCAAGCCATTAAAGTCATTAAATATGCTGCAAAAAAATCCAGCTTTCTCATTCAGTTTGTTTCACTGCCTGAAAATTCATCTTTAAAAGCTGTCCCTGTTATTTCCCTTTAGAGATAGCTACATAAACAGATTGGGTAGCTTTTCGCTAACCCCCAAGCCTATCATTAATTATTATTTATCACATTTGTACATTATTTTTCTTTTAAGCCTTACAGGAAAGGCAGCATACAAATGTGATGAATTATATTTCCTATTGTTAATACTTAACACAAAGCAACTCTCTGAAAGTACATATTTTCTCTACTGGGAAGATGAGGTGAGAAATTAATTTTAGAACCCAAAGTACTCAATAACATCTGGTCCATCTTTAAGTTTAAAGACCTGATACTGGAGGGAGGTACATCCATCTCCATTATATTTTGCCAAAATGATCAGGCCAACAACTTGTACTTGTTCTCAATAATACCTGCTAGTCCAATTATGCAATTTCAGGCTGGATGTTATATTTTTTACATTCAGATATACAAAACAGCTCAGCCTCAAAAATTGTTTTGCTATGCTTCTCACCCTGTGAAGACAAAACAGATTCTGGATGTCCTCTATTCCAGGGGTGGCTGTCACTAGCCCGAGGTTATAAATGCTCTCTGGGAAAGAATAAATATAGCTAGTCTTCAGCACACAACTATTTATTTAGCAACTACTCAAAATTACAAACGGCACTGGAAAAAGAGACTTATGACCAGTCCTTGCACTTATAATCATCCTAGCATCCCCAAAATCATGGGACCAACATTCGGAAAACTGGCATATATTTAGGATGGTTGCAGCATCCCGGGTCATAAGATTGTAATTTGCGATCTTCCCAGATAGCTTCTAGCAAGCAAAGTCAGTAGAGGAAGCTGGATTTGCTTAACAATGGCATGACTCACTTAATAACTGCCCTGACTTGCTTAACAACTCTGGCAAAAAAAAAAAAAATCAAAATTTTCATTTTTTTCTATCGCAAGCCCAAAATCCAGAAGTGGGTTTCCAAATTAAAAAAAAAAAATAGATACATTCTTTTCTTTGAATAAAACAATCAATATAACCATCTCCATTTTAATTTTGGTTTTACTGATTAGATACGTTCATTGTTATACAAATGGCCAGTACAGATAGTCCTCGACTTACAACAGTTCATTTAGTGACTGTTCAAAGTTACAACAGCACTGAAAAAAGGGACTTATGATCGTTTTTCACACTTATGACATTTGCAGCATCCCCACGATCGTGTGATCAAAATTCAGATGCTTGGCAACTGACTTATACTTAGGACTGTTGCTGGGTCCCAAGGTCATGTGATCACCTTTTGCAACCTTTTGACAAACCAAATCAATGGGGAAGCCAGATTTACTTAACAACTGGGTTACTAACTTATCAATTTCAGTGATTCATTTAACAACTGAGGCAAGAAGGTCGTAAAATGGGGAAAAATCACTTAACAAATGTCTCACTTAACCACAGAAATTTCAGGTTCAATTGTGGTCGTAAATCAAGGACTACCTGTGTAAATTACTGTGTAAAAGTAAAGTGTTGAGGCTGCAATGTTATTAACATCTATTGTACTAAAAAGTCAATGCCTTCCCCCCCCCCTTTTATTCCACCCCTTTCACCCTTTTCTTTTTCCTCTGACAGTTTCCTATTATTTTCATTTTCCTTTCTATTTTATATTCGGATAAACTAATAAAAATTTGTAACCTGAAAAAACAATTGTGGCAAAAAATGTAGTAAAATCAGGTGCAACTCTCTTAACAACTGCCTTGCTGAGCAACAGAAATTCTAGCCCAGTTGTGGTCACAAGCTGAGGACTACTTGTATGTGCCTGGAATTAAATATCTTTTATGAATGAAGATGGATATACATGTCCCAGGATAATGTTGCAGGATCCAATCTGGGTTGATCACCAGGACCAGAGGTTTAATCTTCTGAACTTCCGGCCTTGTGCCAGAGCCCATCCTCAGGGAACTTCTCTCTACTAGATTCTTAAAAATAATCATACAACACGCACTATTTTTATTTTTTCTACTCTGTGGAATCTACTATGGACCTGGGATAGAATGGGGAGAAGGAGGAATTTAATCAGGAGAATTGGAAATATCTAATCCAGTTCTTAGTGTCTGTTTAAAGCAGAAAAGAGAGAAAGTCTTTCATGTTCTTAACATTCAAAATGAGCAATATCAAATTGCTGGTCATTTTGTTTGATATTCTCAGCAAAGAAAAGTAACTCAAGGCTGGATGTCTTATCACTCCAGCTCTTAATATTCAGAATCAGTAACAATAATTCAGAAGATTCACTTTTGTAGTGACCCCACCTACAGTCTCATAAAAACAAACTATTTTCTTTAGAGTTAAAACTTAGCTGGCTGAAAAGTCTTATGAACCTGCAGAGGTTATTCCCATAAATCTCTAATAACTTATAACTGTTCCAGGCTAATTGGAAATGCCACTTTGCTCTTCTTCATGTCTCAAATACCCTTCACAGTTATAGGGAGCGTACTATTATTCTCACACAGAGTTTGCAACTTTTGATCAAAGTAATGTAACTTGTTTGTTTTTTTCCTTATTACCTTGCCCTTGTCAAAATAATGGATAATTTCTTGATAGAGCTGATCTTTGAGTTGTCCTTGCGTTGCTGCCTGGTAGCCATCTCGTTGGGTAAGATGCGCTGCACATGGTTCTTCAGACCACTATATCAAATGAAAGCCATGAGGAAATTAAACATTAATAATGATTAATGCATGCATAGCTTTATCCTGCTTTAAACAAAACTAAGGAATTTATTTATTAATTTATTTATTAATCAAGTTTATATACCCGTCATCTCACCAAGTGGGATTCTGAGCAGTACACGCAACAGGTAAGACCACGTATGAAATCCACAAATATTTTAAAAAAACATAAAAATCACACTAACAATAAATACAGTGGTAACTCAGTACTCGACTGTTCTGAAAGTTGTCAAATTTGCTACTCAATACATTTTGATGGGAATTTTTTTCCCCAGTACTCATCATTTGTTTGGTACTTGGTGCACAAGCTAAAAGTTATCAGTATCAGCTGCCTTGTGACTCACTAATCTTTCCGGCCAAAACAAAGGGTCACATGCTAGTCATGTGGTTGTTTGGCACTCATTGTTTTTAGTACTCATCACGCCTCACAGAATCAATTAATGATAAGTACCGAGGTACCACTGTACTAAAAAAACACAGGGGAAATTAGTTTGTGACGAATTTTTTCAGGATGTAGAATATGACATTGGTGTTAGCAATTCAGATTTCACCTACTGAAGGAGGTCAGGAACTAAATGAAAATGCCTCACATAATCATTCATAGAATTGTTTCTGTTGTAAATGAGCCTGTAGCATGGACCAGTTTTGAGTAAATAGAACAATAGGAGAAGAAAGGGGAGAAATCAGATATCCTTTGAGATTGTTGAGAAAAAATAGTATGTTGTAACCCATCTTCAGGTTTTCAAAATCAAAATATCAGTTCCTGAGGGGAAGATGAAGGCACATACTCTGCCCTCTTTCTTCATTTCCAATCCCTCTACGCTGATAGGGAAAATCTGCAAGGAAAAATGAAACCAACCAATCTGCAGTCATATTGGCTGGGGATTCATGTGGCACCATATCAGAACAGATTGAATTGTATTATCAGTCCTTGCCACCAAGAGGTAGAAGACAAACATTGAAATTGTATATGACTAAATTACTGTTTAAATTATAAAACATATTCATTAATTGGTTATTTTATGAGATTCACAAATGAGCATACAGTTGAAAAGACTGCCAAGAGATGGCAAACAATTCAATCATTGATTACTGTTCCCAGTTTTAGGCCAGTATTACAACACATAATTTATAGAATTTCAACACAACTGCTATTAAATGTTATGTGTGGGTTTTTTATCTTACATGGAAGAGATGAATAAAGCTTTCCTGTATCATTGAATCAATACAGGATTAAAATCACGAGTATTTCAAACACAGGGATCTTGCCAAATATATAAATTACAGTTAATATATTTTAAAGAATTTTCATGAATTGAATACAAAACTATTTAAGCTAAAAAAGAATAATATTGATACTGAAGGTATGCGGGCATAGAGAAATCTGTTCTTTTTGTGAATATGTATCTTTTATTAATTAACAAGGAAATCAGAACATTATCTTGATTTTGATTTTGAAATGTTATACAACAGTTGTAAAATCATTTTAAAATTTAACAACTTCAGGCCTCTCTATGAGACAGTATTATGCTATAATTTTAGTTCACACAAATATAAATACAGAAAAAGCAGAATAAAAGAACATGTTCACCCTAGCATTTGGGTGTATCTGATCATATTTTGAATTTTGTCATGCTTTGTTTTTAATACCTTTGTTTGAATTATCTGAAAGTAAAGAAAATAAAGTGAAGCAGAGTGAAATCACAAATAAGCTGTGCAGGTTCTTCTTCAAACATCATTAGGTTTGGATATTTCCTGAATACAGAATCCTATTCCCTTTTTTTCCACTGTGGGTGCAATTAATTCTGGATAGGGTTAATGTCATCTTCTCACTCTTATTCAGTTTGGCCAAGTAACCATATGCTTGGGTCTTAATTTAGTAATATTTTCAGGATTTTCAAGTTCTTAAAAGTTTATGTACATCTCAGTTCTTGCCCCCTACTCAGCATGGCACACTTTTTTGCTCATGATCTTGGTTGTTACTGGGACTTTTTTCTCTTTGTTGGCTCCTTCAAGTTGGAAGGCATGGTTACTGCCAAATTCCAAACTTACTTCCAAGTAGCATCACTGCTGCTTATTGAGGTTTTTCTCAAGCTGCTAAATCTTTAGAACTCAATCAGTACTTGCATGCGTAGGTAGTAACTCTGCTGCTACTGTTGCTCCAACATTGCCTTCACTTCCTTCACTATGTTATTTTTTTTCTCCCATCTTCTATAGATATTTTTCCGGTCACCAAGTCTTTCTTATCCAAAAAACTTTTGAAAATAAGTCAAACAGGCTATGGATACATCTGCATCCTTGAAAAGAGGCAATTGACATTGGCATGCATACAAATAAAGTGGGGCTGTGTCTGATGAGCCATCCTGGTTTTTGGCAGAAAAGAAAGGATGCCATTTATATTGGAAGAATTTTCCAATGTTTGTTTGGGAAGTGGCAGCAGAGGAAGGAGAGAGAGAGTCATCTGAGTGAGTGTCAGAGGCTAGTGTAGAAGGCCAGTCTTCATCCTCTTGGTTAGACAGGCTGGTCTTGCCATTCCAATATGGGTTTCAAATGTTGTCTGAGATGACCACCATGGCATAGCTAATCTAAAGTCAGGAAGACTGTCCTTTCAGTAGCAACCACTCAAACTGGCAAAATGAGCTGCTTATCATATTTAAACTTATAAACACTTTTTTATCTTGAGTTTTGTTATTCTAGAGTTTATAGTTCTACAGACTGCTAGGGGGCAACCCTAAATTTCTGGAAACAGAAAAAACACAATTCTGAGGAAATATGAAGTGGAATACAGTGGATAGGGATCTCCTTATCCGTGATTACCTGCACATTATTGTGTTTTCTTTCCTTAAATAATTTATTTCTCCTTAACAATTAGAAAACTCAGTTTTAATAAAAGCTGTTTAGTGACAGCTTCATCCTTTAAGCATGACCTAAATGTCATTGACATTTTCTTTTTTATAATAAAACCATACGAAATTTTAGAGAAGATAGGTAAATCAACTGAAAAATGTCTCTGCACTGGTCTTACAAATCTACTGTAAACCTTTTCTGTTCTTATAGTGACATTTTCTTACATTCAACATAACTCAGCTGTCCTTTCATTTTTTTTATTTAAAGGTGCTCTTTAAATGTCCTACAACCTATCCTTTTGTCTCTATTTTTTTCTGAAACATCTTTCTTATATAATATCAAAATAGATCACACACTAGCATGGGCCATATTAATGATTTTAAAATGAACCATAAATCCATCAGAAACTCATTTTCATCATTAGTATCAGTAATATGATGTTATGTATGTATGGTTTTTTAAAATATGGTATTTCTACATTTTCAACATGGCTTACAAACATTAGAATATTCAATATTTAGAATACTGCTCTCAGAAAACAAATATTACATTGAAATGCTGATAGGAAGAGATGGTCTTTCTGTCTCACAGAAATGCACAAATGCCAGTTGCTAGGAAGTTTGAGAACTTGAAATGGAGGAAAGGGATATAGCATGGTTCACATACATTACATCCTTGTGTGTGCCACTCCATTTCCACAGAACTCCCAACTATGCAGTATGAATCCAGAGTCAGAAGGGGAGTTCTGTGCTTTACTTGTGCAAATACAGAATTTCCTGTCAGACTCTGTCATTCAGCATGGATCGGTAGGAAGATGTGAAAGGAATAGAAACGATGCCGTCCAATTGGAACCAGTCAAGTGTTTTAAGGCAGATGAAACTGGAGATCCTAAGCTATGTAGGCACATAATCTGGCCTACATATTCATCCAAACAATATTATAAGGATGATTCAGCTTTATACCAGAATAACCTCTGTTCTGACAGATGCACAATGAAAGGTGACTGTGCAGATTATACGGTGATTCCTAGTCCCTCATCTGCAGTGTTTTGTGAATTACCAGATTCAGCCTCAAGTTTAGAGAATTCTGAAAGGCTTGGGGAACAGAAGGAAAAGAAAAACATTTTCAGATATTCTATCCTTCCTGTTCCCTTTATGGATGCCTTCAATCAGCAAGGAACAATTGTCTTTAGTAAAATAAGATGAACTTCATGACTTCATTTTCTTTCTGTTTTCAAAAGTAAGTTTTTTTTACTACGTACTAATTTACCCAAAGGGTTAGTTAGCATATTATAAAATATCTATACACACACACACACATACACACCAGACCAAAAAAAATTGAAGATTTGTTTAAAATAGAGAACATTTCATTATCTTCTAAAATGGTGTGTGTGTGTGTGTAGATATCTAAGTTAATCTTACTATGAAGTACAATTATTAAAATAATGGGTTTTCTATCTACACATACAAACATTTTTAGAAACATTCAATTGATAACTTAATAGCACTGTAAAATAATTATAAAGGGTTGGAAGGACAAATTGCAAGAATACAACTATCACACTACAAGACTTATCTAATTCATCTCCCACCCCTTGATTGTTATAGAAACAGGGAAAACTATTATGATTCCTTTTTCTACCAAGTTACATTTAAAGATATTTCAAGGCAGATATCAAGAGATGTTCATGTGGTGAACAGTTTTCCCATATTTTGAAGTATCCATATTATTCAAAAACTAAGGTGTTTGGAGAATGTGAAAAGTTATAAGCAGTCATCCTGCAGTGCTAAAAAAATCTGCTACTCAAAGAAAAAAATAATTGGAGAAGAAAACAAAGCAGGTACCAATCAACAAAGATAAACTTGGAATATTGGTTATAAGTTTCAATACTTTACTTGCAATATTTGGATCCAAGGTAGGAAAGATGTTTCAGATCTAGCATGGCTGTTTGCTATACTTTTCAGCCTATCCTCAAAGAAGAGACTGGACAGCCATTTGTCCGAAATGGTATAGGGTTTCCTGCCCGAGCAGGGGGTTGGACTAGATGACCTCCAAGGCCCCTTCCAACTTTACTACTATTATTATTATTATTATAAGTCTTGACTTTTCCTGGGCTCGCATGGTAGCCCCTTGATTCAGAAAAACATGTGTTAAGAAGGCATTAAGGAAGTGTCAACAGAGCAGTAACATATGGTTGCATCATATCATATCTCCTTAATTCAAACACATATTTTCTACATAGCTACCATGCAAATCTTGGAAAAGGCAAGGCATCGTTAAGGCCACACTAACAAGGATAGTGAAATGTGCCTCATACTGAATCCAGGACAGATGATAAATCACATCTTGGTTAACAATCTGTACTGGCATTTGCTGTTAATGTTATGGGTTACTTTGCTTTTGCTTCCACCATAAGTCCTTGGGTGATTCACCTTAAACTAAGTTTCAAACAGTAACAATTCTATACCCTAGCTTTCTGTTTCATTCTTATAAAATATTCAGTGTATTTTGTATGTAGGTATTGTTTATTTCTAGAGAAATTTTGCATCTTAAATTCTAAGCCTTCAAGATTAAAAACATTTGAAATATATATACCTTAAGAAGTTTTGCATGAAGAAGTAATGTGTAGGCAGCTTCAGTGTAGTTGTCACATTCTTTGTGCAGGTCACAAAGTTTGTACAAATACCTAAAGTAAAAAATATAATTTTCAACAATATTACAAAATAATTATAGTTTAAGACACCATAAATGCCAAATGCCAAAATATAAATTAAAATTAATATGATTTTTTATCTCATATCTCAAATAAAATAATATTTAGTATCTGATATACAAAAGAAGTCAGCAATTATATGAATAATGCATTTCATAAAGTTATATTTTCTATGATTAAAAGATTCATAGTTTTTTTAAACACTGATATTCTGAAAAGGCACACAATATCAGCCTTCCATGCTTTCAAGTTTGGTAAACTGAGGACCCAGATTGTTGGGAACAATGTGCTGACATTTGTAAACCACTCAGAGAAGTGATATATAAGTCTAAGTGCTATTGCTATATTTATGCTGATATTTACTATTGTTGCCTTAGTGTATATTATTGTTATTCATATGTTTGATAGTGTTGATAATTTTGCTTTATTTTAATTTTATTTAGTTTCATATGCATTTTATATGTAAGCCAGAGTTTGTCTGTCTGTCTTTCTGTCTGTCTGTCTCTCACTCTCTCTTTTTCTTTCTCTTTCTTTTGTCACCCATCTGCTGCAAGGCAACTCTGGGCGGCTTATAACATTAAATAGAGTAAAACCATAACAATAAGGATACAAAATTATAATTAAAGTATGGGAGGGGAGGGAGCATGATTCGCAGGGGAAAATGGGATCCACTATTAGTCCATCAACCACCTCCAGCATGGTACTCCCCATTGAGGCCCCAGCTCAACTGGCAGAGATAGGTCTTCAGGCTCTTGTGGAAGGTTGAAGCCCCACAGAAGCTCTTGTAATAAATATATAAAATAAATACATATTTAACTTACTTCTGAGAACTTACATCTCAGAAACTTATATGACACCTTTCTACCTGGGCATGATTGCATATTATATTAGAGTCTTGATGGTGACTGTAATATTGGAAGAGTACGAAAACATGGAGGGAAGAATTTTAAGACTTTCTATTCAGCTCCACTTGAAAGTCATACAACTCCATACTTCTATCCAGTGCAGCTATTTGCATTTAAGGAAAAATTCTTAATGATGCTAATGCATGTTAAAAATAACAACTTATTGTCATGGGAGTAGAAGTTACCAAGATAACTAATAGAAAGAAAGAAAAAATCTACCTTCCTGATGTAATTAAGTGCTAAATCCACTATCCTGGCTCTAGTTTTAAACCAATGAAACCTATATAATGTGCAGCTTTGTCCTCTGTACACTCATACAGAAAATTTCTGTAATTTCTGTAATTCTGAATAGGCTACAATTTGAGATGTAAATGATCAAAATGAAACCTCGAAGAGGTTCTACATATTATTAAATAGTTACTCAAAAGCAAATAATCAGATAGTACTTTTAAAATCTTTTGATAATTACAATTATAACCTGGGGAAAGAGGTTTTTAATATCCACTGGAGAATGCCAGTATGCAGTTGTGATAATAAAAATAATAATAAAAAGCAATGAGCACTTTTTCTCACTGCAGAAAGGTAGTTGATAATTAACACTCCCTTTCCCTGTTAAGAAACAAATTAAATCAGTGATAAACAAAAACAAATGAAAGGGCCAGCAGCTAAAAAATTAGCTCTTGCTACAACAGAAAGTAGCAAAGAAATACCCATCATAAAGTCATTAGAAGAAAGAAAACTTAACCACATGTTGATAGTTCAAAAGAAGTGGGATGTGTTAAAAGAGCAAGGTGGCAGGATGAGGGTGGAGCTGGGAGCAAAGGTACACAGTAACTCTGTCAGAAATCAATGTTAATATTTGGAAAAACTAAATGAATAAAATTAAATGACAGAAGGCCACCTGAAGAGACTAGAAGCATTTGAAATGTGGATTTACAGGCAGCTGTTACGTATAAGCTGGGTTGACAAGATCAGAAATGAGGAGGTGATAAGCCGCCTGGGAAAGTCAAGGGAAATCATCAAAACAATTAAAAAACAAAAATTAGAATATTTCAGACATGTGATGCAACACCCAGAAAAATACGGCATACTCCATTTAATCCTCCAGGGAAAGATTGAAGGCAAACGAGGTCCAAGCAGAAGAAGAACATCGTGGCTTCAAAATCTAAGGGATTGGTGTGGACAAAACTCAGCAGCACTTTTTCGTGTGGCTGCTGATAAAAACAGGATTGCCAACATGATCGCCAATGTCCGATAATGGATATGGCACAAGAAGAAATGAATAAATTACACCTGCTGAGGAAAAAGAGGTGAAAGCAAACCTTTCTCCTCTAAATATGCTGTCTAAAATGTAATTAAATGATATAATAATAGAAACCATATTGCACACAATCCTACTCTAATCAATACTTAGAATTCCATTAGGTATTTACAGATATATGAATAAAGGATCTATTTATGCTCCATTGTGTATATGTAAAACTGTGTATTTATTTATTCTTAAATAATGCCAATTAAAGTTCATATTTACAAACCTTATGTACATTTCTTCTCTTTCAATCTCTTTGTAGAAATTCTAGGGAGGAAAAAGAAGTATCAGCCTATTTCAATGAATTTGGTTTTATACATATGTGCAAGGGTTTACATACACTATTTATATTAGAAATTTATAATTCTATAATATTGTAATCTGAAGCATGCATCTTCTAGAACTCATTTTTTCACCTATAAAATATGAAAGCATTACTTAAAAAAAACATTTTATTACAAGAACTCAATATACCCAATAGGGTATTTTCAAATCCTACACCATTAGCTCTTCTCACTTTTGCAATGAACTAGTCATCATCATATACTAAAAAACAATTTAAAAGTTTAAACAAAAATCAGTGTTAAATCATCCATTCTTGAAATCTAATAAATTAAGGAGCATACTAAAAACGTAAATAGCTTCAGGTAGGAAGGAGGATGAGTGCTGATAATTATAAGATTACTGGAATAATATATTCCTCCCTTCTGATGCAGAACTAAATAAAACTCCTCTTCTGGAATATATTTTTCATTAAAAACACAAAAGGACTCATTTCCCCCTCTATGCCTGCTATAATTCCCACAATTAGCACACCCATAGCAAGGGGATTATTTATTCGATGTTAAAAAACTTCACTTTAGCTGGAGAACACATTTGAGGTTAGGTTCAGTTTGTCTCTTCCTTGATTAAAAAAGCATCCTTTTAGAACCAAATCGTAGTCTAAAATATAAAGAAGTATATTAATATAAATGATCGGTCTACTGAGAAAATGTTTCTGTGCAGTGATGTTGTCAAAGAAACCTGCTATGGTACAGTATGTACAGTATAGGCATGCAGCTTTGAGCACAAGTTGACAGTGTTTCAAATGGACAGATTATCAAGATTCAAATCATTTTTCCCCCTTTTTAGCCATAGGTGCTATGCTGCTACCTGCACTGGGAAAAACATAATGTGTATGGTTCCTTTAGTTTTGCTGGATTAGTGCTGTGATACCACTGATTATGGAAGCCTTTCTTTTGCTAAGTTGCATCACTTTGTAGCAGTTCTGCTTATTTCCATTTTCCTGTTAAACATAACAAGTTGATAAGTTGCTCTGGGTATAATAATGCATTGCAATAAATATGTTATGCTTTCTATTTCATCAAATCCAGGAATGGCATCTCATTTTTCTCCACGAGTTTTTAAAATCAGTAGCTGACTTGAGGAGGGTGAATCTACTTATGTCAAATACAGACAAGAAGGGTAATGATCAGAGGCCTCAATGACGTGCATAGCTAAGTACTTTTCTCTCAAGATATGACATGTTAATTATCAATAGGAATATGATGGTGTGAACCCATTATGTCAGTATTAGGAAAGACTGACTATTAAAAAAATATTCATTCTTTTTGGACAAATATTATTCTGGATTGTATCCAAAATAACTTTTAAAAAAATCATGAGATTCTAGAGTATGTGGTCAATCTGTGAGCCCCAATTTGGCAGACTCCAGAGCATTTTGCAAAATAAAATGTATTCTAAATCTCTGCCAGGCTCAACACATTTATTTTGGCACTAGCTGCAAGCCCAAAGTAGGGTGGAGTGTGGATTGCCATCAAGGAGGCTTTATTGGCTCCAGATGCTATGCTCTGGAGTTTACCAGATGTGAGGTTTTTTGCTTAAGTTGGACTTCAGGGAACAAAGGTTGGGTTCACTATTGTTGAACCAGTGTTTCCACTGGATGGCAACATCTGTGCTACTTGATGCAATTTCCCTTTGCAATTGCATCAAGCAGCACAGATGTTGCCATCCAGCGGAGTCATTGAAGAATGTGAGGTTTTTTTCCCTCTCATTAAGAAGATGTTGGTGGATCCAATAATTCTGGGCAATTTTGATACAGGCCAGCATGTGGCTGGGTAAGAAGGAACAGAATCAAGCTCAACCAAGTGGCTTTGGGTACTTGGACCACTTGTAACTGAAGCCTCACTTCCCTAATTGAGACTGATATACAATTTGGGGGTTATCCTAGACCCCCAGCGCCTACTTAAGTAGGTGGCAGTAGTGGCCAGAAGGGCCTTCACCCAGATTCATGGTATGTATCACCTGCACCCAATTTTAGATCTGAAGGCACTCCAAACAATTATTAATGCTTTCATTACTTTGCACATCGACAATTGCAATGCTCTCAATGGTGCGCTGGCCTGCAGCTTGTGCAGAATGCAGTGGCATAAGAAATTATGACCATGCCACAGTGTGACTGTGTAACATTGCTGCTTTGTGAGCTACACTGGTTACTAGTACATTTCAGGTGCATTTCAAAGTACGGGTTATCAACTTCAGAACTTTTCATGGCCATTATGTGTTGTAGACTTGGCATGTTTTGGATCCCATCAATGAAACAGTCCCACCTTTAACTTTCGGTTTTGCAAGACTTAGCCATAACAATGAAAATGCAAAAGACTCTTTACCACTTACATTTGCAAAATACATCTGATGGCAAGGAAGGAAATTTTAAAAATGGAATATAGAGCTATTAGGGGAAATGTCAAAACTTGGGAGAAAGGGAATGAAAGAAAAATTGAGGGAGAAAGAAACTAGGAGTTGCTTAAGGAATATAAATGGGTAGAATTCCACCCCTATCCCCAACTATCCTACTACATTGTCTTCCTTATGCCAAGCAATTTCAATAAAAATAGAAAGAAAATTCCTGGGCGATCTAATTGCCCTGGATTGGAAAGCTACTTGGCAAAGAAAGAAAGCGAGAGTCAGATTTTAAAAAACAGAAGATTTGACCTTTTAGAGGGGGCATTATATGTTTAAATACTTGTTCAAATAAGATTAAAAGAACGGATGACCCTTAGATATAATTAGACTTTTATAATGAAAGATATGATTTAGAACTAAAATAAAAAAAATCTTTCTTTTTTTGGATATGGGGAATATGAAAATAAGAGGAGGATTGGTATGAATAAAACTGTTAGCTATATAAATGTAATTAATATTGAGAAAATTATAACTGACAAAGATATTTCAAATACTGATGGGAAATCAAATCTTAATAAGAACACGAAAAACAGGGTATGGATTTATGAATTGATATTATTGATTTATGAATTGATATTATTGTTATTTGTATGATATCAGTAAAATATGATGAAGATGCTTATATCTAACTTTGTATACATCAACAGTACCAAAAACTGTAACTGTGTAATGAGGGAAAATGGAAAAAAAATATGGGGAAGAAAGGGATCAGGGAAAAAATACTGAATTGTAGTACTGAACAGATTTATATTGAAGAAGTTAATATTAAATATCTGAACCCAGACAATATGTTGTTTACTAAGCACTAAATATTGTAATTCTTAAAAAGTAATAAAACATTAAAAAAAGAGAAAGAAACAGTCCCATCTTTTCTGTTTGTGGCACATGGCATTGTAATTGTTAAGTCCTCAAGTTAATGGCGAAAGAAGAGCACTCATTCTGTAGCTAACAACTGTTTATTCTTCTTCTGCTCACTCCAACACAACTCAGAGACTTGCAGGCCTCTCTCACATTAAATAGAATCCCCGGGCAAAAAGGTTACAAGAGAAAATGGTGCGCTTTCGCGCCTTGCGCATGCGCTCAGGCTGGTGCCGCTTAGTCTGGTCCCGGGCAGCTTGCAACAGCCCGGGACCATAGCAATGTCCTGAGTCTGCTTTTGCAGGCTCAGGACACAACAGTAATATCCTGCTAAAAATTTGTATGCTCCTAGGCTCATCTCATTCAAATACGCCCTTGAAAATTGGCTCTTCCTTCAAACTTTTAATTGGCTGGTTGGCTGCATGTTGAGAGTGCTGCTTTTTAATCCTTCTCCATGATTCACTATCTTCGTTTTATAGTTGGTATTAATTTTGTTCTTCTATTGCATACCACTCAGAGTTGCTATAAATCGGGCAGCTTTACAAATTTTAATTTAATTAAAATATTTTTTCATCCTATAAATCCCTTTACCTCTCCTTCAAAAATAGTGTGAATATTTCATAATAGCCCACTCTTTTAATATCTTCTTGACAACAGACTTGCCTCTTGAAAGTAATTTTTTTCAGCAACTGGAAAAAGTTGTAAACTTTAGCTTTATTGCCTATGATCGAATTTGCCTAATCCTAGCCTTCCTTCCATTTAATATTTTATAAACATTTGTCCTTCTCTATTTTTCTATTTTTAAATCATGATATTAAAAATAAGTACGGGACTTCCTGTGGCGACGGCCGCGCCAATGACGGCTTTTTTCAGCCGTCCGCCCTGGGATGTGTCAAAACCAGCTGAGACAGCGAGCAACAGCTGTCTCGCAGCTTGGAACCTCTCTCCCCAGGCAAAGGGGAGGAGGTGAGCTTTTCTCAGATAGTGATAGAACTCCCCAAGACCCCAAAGCTTTCTTTTTGGTGGTCTGAGGGTGAGAGATCCCATGGAGTCTGAGATGTCCTCCACATTCCAGGATGCCTTTGTCCTGATTTTTATCCAGGGCAAAGCTAGATGCTGCTTCCACATTTGTGCTTAAAATGAATTTGTGAGTAAAATTTAAAGCAGACAGAGCTGACCAGGCGAGATTAAAATGGTGATTATTTTGAGACTTTAACTCTGGAAAAGAATTTATCTTTTCCTTTTTTTTTAATTAAGAGTGGTGAAAAATGGCGCTGAGATGTTGATTCTTTGAGTGAAAGGACTGGAACTTCTATTTGAAACAATGTAACAGATTTTATATTTATATAAAATGCAAGAATCTTCTTTTTTCTTTTAAGGGGGCTTTTGTCTTTTTTCCTCCCCCTTTTTGTTATTTGTTGATTTTATAAGATTTTAGCAGATTTTTTAACAAGTGGTCTTAAAAATAAAATGGCTTCAAAGCGTCTCGGAGCTTCTATTGTTTCTAAAGCCTTGATCTTCCTGGTAATGCAGACAGCTCAGCAAGCTAAGTTTAAGTTAGTACCACCTTCTCCATCGTTACCAGCATCTATACTTAAAGATTTACAGGAGGCCTTAGGAAATAAGGCAAGACAGATTAAAGAAGAGATGGAGGAATTTCTTGA